TAAGTGCAGATTTAAGGTCATAATGATTTTTGTCACAGTGACTCCTGCCCTGTTGCTGCATCCTCCCGCTCCTCCCTGCACCCCTGAACCTCACATATCTCTTGGTCCCTCATTTACCTAACAGGCACATACACCTGCTCTCCGCTCAGTACCTCAGTCAGAAAATCTGCTTTGCTTCTTAGCCCTTCCTGCCTGTCAGCATCCTGTAGCTGTTCTGAAAACCTGCCCATGATCTGTTACCCATGTTGTACAGTGACTCAAGGGGACCCCTAGTGGGTTGATCCAGCCATGCTCCTTCTAGCAGCCAGTAAACATACAACTGTACACTGATATTTTGTTAGATTCTGGTTTTGGATAAAAACAACTTTTCCTTTAAAATAAAATAGATGTGTTTTCAGGTGGCAGAGAAAAAAATATTATGTTAATACAGCCAATTTATCCATTCAGTAATTAGATATATAATGAGGGGAAATGGTCTAGATGGAGGACACATTTATCCACATCAAACGTTAAAGTTTGATACATATATATATAATTTAAAATGTAGATGCATTGGAAACCAGACACAACATAGGATGACACATCACTGAAGGAAATAACAACATATTGCTTTCAGTTCATTGGTGTGTTATCAGTTCGTGAGCTCCTGGGCTGAAGCACGTTGCCTCCTTGGTGAGGTTCAAAGGAACAGACAGCAGGTGTGGTAGTTAGCTGTTCAACATGAGCAGTTGTTCCACACATTTGTAGAACAGCAATCAAATGAACGAGTCCCTGAGTAACAAACAGCTGCTTGATAATCAAAACCAAACCTGAGTCTCAAAACAGCAGCTTCTGGGTATGGGACAATTCCATTTCATGTAAGAGAGCATGCAGCAGAAGCATCGTGCCTCTACAGAGACTCAACTGCTCAGATTTTAACCAGACCCAAGAGGTATACGATCACATGACACCTGTTTTAGCCTCTTTACGTTGGCTCCCTGTTTGTTTGTTGATTGATTACTTTTATGGGTCTCCATGACCTGGCTTCAGATTATAAATATGTCGCTTTGTAGTATGCACATTTAATTAAAACTGCAAGAGACTGGCTTCATAAATATGATCACATAAAGAAGTAATGAATATAATGAAACAAAGGTTATTACATAATTACTGTTTATTTAATTTATGACTTACATCATGCTGCTTCGTGAAAGGAAATGGTTTTATCTAAATAATAAAAGCCCTTCCAGTTGAGAAAACTCCATGCAGTGTCATACAGACTGCCCTGCATGATTTGGCCTCTACTGGCCTCTAAGTGGTTGAATAATGAATACTGGTAGTTCCCTGTGTGCTCATATTACAGACGTGTTATAGTTAGCCTATACTTAAAATCTGTCACACATAATAAAACATTTCTGATCTTAACCAGGGTTTGGAACTGTTTCAACTTAGATGCATCACAACTTCACGACTGCTTGTTGGTGTCCCACCACATGCATGCCCGTAGTCCACCACTGATGTTGGATCACATTATTTGTTCATCTATATATACATTTACTGTCCTGCAGTGACATGTCGTCTGATGATTAGAATGATTATCTGGTGGGTTTTATGATTGTCACTGACCGGGGGGGATTTCAGGATTTCTCTGAATAGTTTCTGCAGTGGTAGCTCACACTTACATTGTGTGCTACTGTCCTCTAGTGGTGATATGTCTCCAGTTCACAATCACAACTTCAGCTGTCTTCTCTGATTCAGACTTGCTTCAACAGGACAGGGTGTCCAAATTACAAGCTTAAAGTGTACTGTACCCTTATAAAGCTCTTGTTGTGGTGTCTGATCCCCAGAAAGATGAAAGACGGGACAGTTTAGTGTGTGTTAGATGGTCGTAGCCTCCTGCTGTGTTCCTACTGTAAGCATGCTGGCTGATATTCCTGCCCCATCAGAAGACAGCAGCTCCACACACTGAATATCTTAAAAACATTTCTACATCAGTCAAATGACTTAATTTCTCAGGCAGTTTAAATGATCCATGTGTTCACTCCATGTCAGCCTGTCACCAGCAACAGAACTGTGGGCTCAGTTTTTTTTTTGTTGTTGAGAAAATCAACTACATCTCATTACCTCAATAGTCATCTCTAACAAATTTGTGTCACAATTCAGTATGAACAAGGTCTTTGTGGGTAAAACTTCTATTGTCATTTCCGATGATACATACTCCTTGGCAGCTCTCATGTCTCAGTAGTAAGGTTAATCTCCTTAAGGAATCTGCATTTATGACTATTTCATATACTTGGCAATAGAGTTTAATTAAAAAGAAATTAAACAAAGTAAATTAGTGCACTGGGGACAAGCATGTCTAAAAAATGTTCCCTATGGAGAGTGCATTTTCATTAGAAACGCACTACATCTTGTGCACATTGTGCTCACCATACAGAGCCAATAAGAAAGTGTTGGGAGGTGTGTGTGTTTGTGTATGTGTGTGTGTGTGTGTGTGACTGCTATGTACTGTAGACTGATACCTATTGTCCAGCATGTCACTGCTTGTAGCAGTCAGTCACCACCAGGGCCCTACATGGTTTCCAGTTTCCCCAGTGAAACCAGACTCTGATGAATGGGAAGTTTGACACCTCCGGACAGGGTTCGGAGAGGCCGGCGGTGTGTTGTGACAAATGTGGTTGCTGCAGTCACTCAGAATGTGGGTCAGTACATTCAGCTCAGGAAAGAAGAGAAGAGCTAAGAGCTAAGATATTTAGCCTATATTCAGTTAGCATTATAGGCTTTGTAGCTCAGTGATATTGGTTAGCATTAGGCTAATCCATTTTGTTATCCATCTGGTATAATACTGTACTCATGTCATCCTTCAGAAATCTGTATCCGGCGCCAACATTGGATAGAGAGTATATTAGACTCAAATGGATGGGGTTTTAAAGGCCCCACTGATCCTTTTAGAGTGAAACAATCAATACAGATAATTTGTCAAAATCTTTAAAGCTGCAAAAATCTTTTTTTTTACATTAACAACAGATACATTTTAATATGTGCAATGTGGAATTGGTGTCACTTGCAGTGATCAACCTACATAGAATTACCATCTAATTCCTTAGTTCCCCTCAACTGTCTGTCTCTTTTAGATCTTTTAGATCATTTCAGATTTCTGGCCTCCATACTCCACTCTCGACCTTGTCTTCAGCAGCAGCAGGCGTTTTCTGTGAAATGTCTGATAAACTCAATGCTCAGCGCCATCAGCACCAAACAGCAAACTAGTTAGCAACTAGTGTGACATTTAGCAGCTAAAAAGCTAAATATAGTAAATAGAGATATTTTTCTCAGAAGTTGGAGGAAAGCAGAGCAGAGCTAAAATTAGAGTGAATATTGGGCCTACATTGTTCGTGTGGTCAAAAGCAGAGACTTGAAATGCATGCTAATGTCGCTCTGTATCAGCTACATGTATAAATTAACGACTGCTAACCGCCATCACCATAGCAACTTTTGATGGTGATAATATGATCACAACCAAAATGTTTTAATGCTTTATGTTATTCCTTGGGAACTTTCTGTGAAAAATAATATAATTTAAGTGATGAATGTATATTTTTATTCTTTATATTATTCCTGACCTATAGAGAAATTTCCCATTTTTGTATATTCAAAACGTAAAACGTTTCAAAAAAGTTGGGAAAGGGTCTTGTTTACCACTCTGTTGCATCACCTCTTCTTTTAATAACACTCTGTAAGCATCTGGGAACTGAGGAGACAAACAATAATCTTGAAAGGGGATTTTTTCCCCATTCTTGCTTGCTGTAGGATTTTAGCAGCTCAACACCTCAGAGTTTCCTTTGTCATATTTTACGTTTCATGTGGTAAACATTTTCAGTGGGCGAGAAGTTGGGACTGCAGGCCGGCCAGTTTAGCTCCTGGACCTCCATCTTAAATGAGCTCGGGCCCATGGAAGGCAGTGGTATTTCTGGATCTGGTTTCTATATGGTTTCCTCTTTCCTCGTAGAGTTTTGCATTTGTGGATGCAGCGATTAGATGTGTTCACAGATGCTGGTTTTTGGAAGTGTTCCCCAGCCCAGGGATGTCCACTACAGAATCAGTCTGTTTTTGACGCAGTGTTGTCTGAAGGCCAAAGGTCACAGCCATCCAATATAGGTTTTCGGCCTTGACCCTTGCATACAGAGATTTCTTCTGATTCTCTGATGATATGATGTACTGTAGACAATGAAATCCCCAGATTCTTTGCAATTTTACCCTGAGAGTGGTGAAGCCCTCCCCATTTTTACTTCAGAAAGACTGGGATGCTCTTTTTATACCCAATCATGTTACTAGCTCGTCACAAATCAAATTCAAAATGGGCATATAATTTTCCAAAAACAATTACATTTTCAGTTTAAGCATTTGATTTGCGCTATTTTCTATTAAATATGGGGTTTCGGTGTTTTGCATTACATTTTTTTTAATTTGGACATAAAAAAACAACAATTCTGAATCAAGATTCAGGATCCTATTTTTGTGGCAGTGCAACAGGAGAGGGAATGGGAAAGGTAAGAGTTTGAAAACAGGTTGTGACATACATTTTGATTATTGGTGGCTGTGGCTTGTGGAAGATTGGCGGTTCGCCTCCCCCAGCGCACATGTCAAAGTGTCCTTGGGCAAGATACTGAACCCCAAATAGCTCCTGAAGGCTGTTCCATCGGTGTGTGTGTGTGTGTGTGTGTGTGTGTGTGTGTGTGAATGATTAGTTTCTTTCTGATGAGCAGTTGACACCTTGCATGGTAACCATCAGTGTGTGAATGTGACATGACGAGTGGTTGACAGACTAGAAAGACTAGAAACTTATATGTACGGTATAATTACAGTGCATTTAACATTATATCGGAGAATAAAATTGCAAGTAAAAAAACGACCACATCCAGCTTCTATGGACGGAATTTTAACATTCTGTGTTTGTGCTGCAAACACAACATGCTAAAGAACAAACAAACAACCCCCTTGGCAGATACAAAGCACATAACACATTTTCAGGTAGTCCACTTTATTTGAAGATTATATCTATGAATATCACCAAAAAATCAAATAGAAAACATCACATAGAAATGCCATGTTACTTTACTGTACCATTTAAGGGGTCTTTGAGGAAGCGGACCAGCACACGTGCTCCCAATATTAGATCATTCTTGGTATTAACAACACAAAAACTCATCAAGTATCACAGTAAAACCACGAGGCGTGTGGTTTGTTTTGTAAAACATCAATATATCAGTCTGTCTAAAAGACACCAACACAGTAACTGCCCATGTCAGTGCAGGTGAAAAGGTAGATCAAAGGTAACAAAGTGCAAATAGGGCTTCAAGTCAGTTCCCTTGGATCACTGGAGCTTCATAGAGCGTAATGCTTAACACACCTTCAAATTGACACAGCATTAAATGACTTTCACACTTCAGGGACATTTTCTTTTCAGCAAATGTCAGACAATGCAGAAAAGCTCAGCTTTAATTAGCAGGCCTGTGTTAGTTATCTGTCCATCTCCCTCTAGTAAGACAGCTGCTGTGAACCACCCTGCTTTCGCCATCTTTCTCTCGAGCAACAACTCTGTTTTAATGCCTAACATCTGTACTACAAAAATAGTAACCTTAAGTTGTCTCTAGAGGAAAAAAGAATGCAAGAATGTGTTCATCTTCACTAAAGTGATGGATATAAAACACTAGGTAAGTACACTTAGATCATAGGTGCATGAGAGAAAGACAAAGCCTTTTGGAACTAGATCAACAACAACTTTTTGATGGCTTATGCTTAAACTAATGGTAATTCCATATGTCTAAATGTAACCCTATTCATGCACAACTTCACACAGAAAAATAAGCATTCAGGTAATCTCATGTCGGTCAGGTTGAAATTGCGTCTGGGGCAGTATTTAGATTAGAGCCCAGTGGATATATTATTGCAGCCGATTTCACTGGCTGGTTTAGCTTATCACACCACCACATCATTCTTTAAAAAATATATTCAGAATACATTCAAATTAGCACATCATTTGATCAAATGAACTTGAATGCAACCCACTCAGCCGAATGCTAAAATATGTTGTAGAATTAACGTTGTTCACAGTGGCTCTGGTGCCTCACGTTTCTTTAATGCATTTGAAAAGTAAGCAAACACCTGCACCTTTATCCAGATTTTCCAGCGTTAATTCCACAATATTTCCTCACGTTACCTATCAGATGGTATGGTGTGATGATTCTACTGATTATCCTTTCAGCATGGGTAGCTAGTTTTCTCCATCAAGGCAACAGGGCATGCAATGGAATAGAAGCTCAGAAATCCCTAAAATATGTAAGTGTATATGCACAAGTAAACTAAAACAGATTTTGTGAACCACAAAGCACTGACAGGTGTATAGGTATATATCTTGGTCACAATATTTTAACGACCAAATTTAAAGGACGCTTATCCAACACGTTTAATCACAGGATTGTTAAAAAAGAAACATCAACTGACATCTCAAACATCAATACAAGCCTAAACAATCCAGTATCATTCAGGCTCTAATTTAGGTGAGCATGGGATATTAAACGTTTGCTTTTAAAACCATGCTAATGTAGCTACAGAGAAGATATAAATGAAAGCACTCCCCACCTAACACTGGGTATCGAACCGCAAAGTGAACTATCTTGACTCAGAAGCTGTCGGGTAAAAAGAAATTGGCATTAAGTGCTTGGTAACAAGTAAATAATGTAAGGTATTGAAAAATATTAGAAACATTAAGGTATTGTATTGGCACTGGTAAAGGAAATGTTCAAACTACATCCAGCCCTAAAAGCAACACATTCCTTCTGTATCAGAAGAGAAATGACTGGGCTGTAACAGATTTTTAATTAAAAGCTACTATCAGATTAAATGTATGTATCCTGTCTAACACAACTCCCCGGTACATGCAATACAGTACACTGCACAAGTCACACACTCTTCTACCATGCACAGTAATGGTGTTGGTGTTGAGGCATGCGGGCCAGGGCTGGCAGTGTTGTGACAGATTTAATACGGGTGTGATCAGGTTTGTGCAGGAGCCCGGAGTAGGCTCAGACAATGGTCTTGAGCTCCTCGTCAGTCAGCTGGTTGAACGTCATGATTTTCGTAAGCTGCTCGGCATACCTCGTCTGGTCCTGCATGAAGTGCGGGATGCGGACGTTCTCCATCTGAGCCAGTGCTTTCAGGCGGTCCACGTCTTCAAATGACACCTTAGCCCACAGAAAAATAACAACAAACAAACAAGTGACAGAATTAGCAACCTGCTGCACTGCAACTAAAAAATGAAAGTACGATTAACCACCAGAACCAGTAGGGAAAAGCAACCGATGAGGAGCAACTCTCCACCTGTAAAATTCATATCCCAAAAAATTATGGGGCAGCATCACATATTAGGTCATAACTGCTGGTGCGGTTGTATGATTCAGTTTGATCAGAAAAACTGGTATAAGAATATTTCCTTCCTTAACATTTTCTGAGTTTATTTTGTTTATTTATTAGAAAAAAATGTTTAGACATAGTGAACACACATCTCACAGCTGAAACTATGGAGGGATGCCTGAGCAATACTACCGGACTATTGTGGCAAATGGTATTACGAGGCAGGACGTTTTGCCGCTAGCTGGTTAGCTTGCTAACTTCAGTAGTTTTCTCTGCAACACAATCCATAGATTTGTACCTTTACCTTGATCAGAACTGTTACTGCTTCACATTCTGTTGATCATGTTAGTTTCATTTTGATTGTTTTAAACTAACATTAAAATAAAATATATTTACATTATATCTTTAAATGCATTTAAACGAGACTAAGAGTATACATCCATACTAGCAGCTCTGTTAGCTCAGTGGTGCTTTGAGCTCAATGCTAATGCCAGCATGCTAACATGCACACAAAGTCAAATGCGAACATGCTTTTGTTTAGCAGGTAATGATTCCGACTGTTCCCTTTTCAGTTTGGCACAAACACGAAGTACAGCTGAGACTATGAGGTCATTAACCAGAGTGTTGGACAAACTGGTATTTTGACCTGATGATGACGCTAGAAGGAAACATCAGTTATTAGTGACTAAACCAAATTTCCTAACAATCCATCAACTTGCTGGTGAGATATTTCAATATACATCAAAGTGTTGGACTGACTGACAGACTGGCACTGCCGTTCCTAAAGTCATGCAGCAATCGTGGCTAAAAAACCTATAAATTCCTAATGAAATGAATTAGCGTAATGTGAGAAAGTGAGTCGACCTGGACTGTCACCCTTTGCTCAGTTAAGTTTTCAATTCATTTCATCATTTCATAACAGTTATTTTGTGGATTCCGCCCTCAACCCAGTGGTGTTATTAAAAACACATTACTTCTTACATCACATTCAACATCTACAGCTGGAATGAGCACCTTGTTTAATCATCAGTGCCTTCGGCTCCTCTGAAGCAGAACACGGTCTGTTCCCTCCTTAGAGACGGTATTATAATAGCCTCATTCAGCTTTCCATTCATTTTCCCCCGTCTGAACTGTAACGATCTTCTGTGTAGTTAAACTTGTATTTAATGTGACTGGATGCCACGGATGCTATTAAAATAGCTCTTAATAGGAACATAACTGTCTGGGATGTCAGATAAAGACCGGACACTGTCAGCACAACACTGAGGTGTAATCTGCTCCTCTGATACAGAAAACCCATCATCATTGCAGTATGTTGGAGCTGTGGATGTTAAAGAGGAAGCTGTACAAATCTCAACTTCTTGTTAATGACTGCATCCAAAAAGAATGGCAGTGGAGGGTATCAAGGCATCACTACAACTATTTATCACTTTCTAAGCTGTTGTGTGCAACGCTGTGGTGGTAAATTCAGAAACTTGTTCAGAAAAGCGGATGGATCGTGAGATCGACAGGTGGATTGGTGCAGCGTCAGCAGTTAAACAGACGCTGTACCGGACAGTCAGTAAGTTCATGATTTACCAGGCAGGTTATGGTCTGATGAGACCAAGATAAACTTATTTGGTTCAGATTATGTCAAGCGTGAGAGGAGGACAAAGACAAGTGTATCTTGCCTGCAGTCAAACATGGTGGTGGGAGTGTCCTGGTCTGGGGCTGCATGAGTGCTGCCGGCACTGGGGAGCTCCAGTTCATTGAGGGAACCATGAATGCCAACATGTACTGTGACACACTGAAGCAGAGCAGGATCCCCTCCCTTTGCAGACTGGGCCGCAGGGCAGTATTCCAACATGATAACGACCCCAAACACACCTCTAAGACGACCACTGCCTCGCTAAAGAAGCTGAGGGTGAAGGTGATGGACTGGCCAAGCATGTCTCCAGACCTAAACCATATTGTGCATCTGTGGGGAATCCTTAAACGGAAGGTGGAGGAGCGCAAGGTCTCTAACATCCACCAGCTCCGTGACGTCGTCATTTGCACATTTTCACTTAGGGGTGTCCTCGCTTTTGTTGACATTAATGGCTGTGTGATGTATTATTTTGAGGGGACAGCAAATTTACACTGTTATACAAGCTGTACACTCACTACTTTACTTTGTAGCAAAGTGTCATTTCTTCAGAGTTGTCACATGAAAAAATGTGAGATACTGTATAAGCAACTGAAATGAGTTTCTTGGCAGTGAGCACAGATCAAGGTGCTCAGAGTAGAACCACTAATACACACTGACAGGACTTAATTGAGGTAGCTGGGGCGTTTGATTAGACTGCCTCCTAGACACTGTGGCTGACTCCGAATGTACGGACCTCACCACACGTGCAATCAAGTTAATCCCAAGACAACCTTAATATGACTTTTTGCGGACTTCCAGATATCATCATGGAACATATAACAGATAGCTGCATGGGGCTGCAAGTCATTTAGATACAGCCAGTGACTGTGGTGGGAGAGAATGAAGCAGCGGCAGGGAGGAGCAGCCACCTGGTACAGGTCTGATCAATGTGCTTGACTGTGCATGTGAATGACAGCACTGAAACATCTAATAAGAAGACTCTCTGCTACTGGATAATTCAGTAGCAGTAGCTGCTACTTAGCGACTCAGTAAACTGACTAATACCACCAGACAGAGATAGATGAGCTGCCTCACCTTTCCTAGAGCCATCAGCAGTGGAAAGTTGATTTTGTCTCTGTATTTCAGGATCTTCAGGATACCATCCAGGTAGACCTGGTCTTTACTGAAGCAACCTGTAATGTGAGAGTTCAGAAAAGAAGTTTGACAAGTATGAATTTGAAAGGGCTGTTTTTTTTGTCTTATTTTGAACATATCACAATTCAGATTAAGACAACCAGTGTTGGATTGTCTGACTCTACATTAATTGTGTGAGCAAGCATAACATTGGCAGCATACATCAGCAAACTCTCTTTTGAATTTTAAACCCTGTCAATTGACATAGTGACCTGGCTGTGCTGTATTGGTCTGGCCCCTCTTGGCTCGGACACAGTAGTCCCAGCGGGTATTGGGGTCCTGGACGAAGCGTCCCAGATCATGGAAGAGCTGAGAGAAGGACATGTGGCTGGCCTGGTAGACGGTGTAGTAGAGCAGGGCGGCGCGCCACAGTGTGGGGTCTTTCCGGAACAGGACACTGTGAATGCTGGCCAGGCCCTCCTCTGTGGGGTTCAGAGGCTTCAGGTTGTGCTTCTTCCTGCCCACGCTGCTGCTCCATGGCTGGTGGCAGTTGTTGATGCCACGGAAATAATGTGTACCTTCAATTTGGGTTCAAAGCCAACTTTATTAATAGCAATACCAGTAAGATGCAAGCAGCGTATCAATACCAGTCTCTTGGATGGTCAATGAGACCTGTGATTAGAGGAGTCATTTACACTACTGTTCAAATTCAAACAATTCATTGTTTTCAAAAGGAAATCACAGTTTTTAGTCCATTAAAATAACATCAAATTGACCAGAAATACAATGTGGACATGGTTAATGTTGTAAATGAATGTTGTTGCTGAAAATGGCTGATTTGTAATAGAATATCTACAGAGGCGCCCAGAGGGCCATTCTCAGCGAGGATATTTTGCATGTTTGCAGACGACACCACCATCATAGGCCAGAACAACAATGATGAGACTTCATATCAGAAGGAAAATGCTAATCTTGTAGAGTGGATTAAAACTGCTCTGAAGATCATTGGTACCCATCTACCGAGCATCAGTGATATCGGTGAGGTGAGGTGTCTGCAGAGCCCAAAGGATACTAAAGGACAGTACCCACCCAGCCACAGCCTGTTCACCCTGCTGCCTTCTGGGAAGAGATACAGAAGTTTCAGCTGCCACACCACCAGACTGCAGAGCAGCTTTTTCCCCCGAGCTATCAGACATTTTTATAATTGCTTTTATATTACTGTATATTGTCTGCTACGTAGCAGAAGGGAGTTGCACAACTCAATTTCACTCTAAAACCTGTTGTTCTGTGAAAAAATAAATCTACCTACTTACCTACGTTTCTAAGTGACCCCAAACTTTTGAACGATAGTATATGTCATGCAGTGAACTGCATTACAGCTGAATTTTAATGATTTTCCATTTGGCCGGTGACCTCCAGGAGCCCCACATTAAGAATAACACCTGTATGTGAGCTTCTGTACTCACCTATCTCATGCCTCAGCATGCCTTCCAGCCAGTGCTCTCGTGCAGTGGAGACGTTGATGGTCAGTGTGGGTCTGCTGTTCACCACCGTCATGGAGGCTCTGGACAGGAGGTCATCTGTCACCTGAACTACGATCTATCAACACAGACAGAACTCATAGTATTTTATTGTTACTTTTTTGCTGTTTAGATTTACATTTAGGTGTATTTTCCTTTAACCTGTCGTATTCACCTCCAACTTCATTTTCACCATTAGTGGTGTAAGAGTATTTGTGACAACTTGTGACAACAAAAACACTATAAGATTAGCAAAATGGTACAGATGGTACATCTGGTCATTACTTGGAATTCCCCAGCTGGAGCTGAATTATGTGGCTGGGAAGAAGGATGTCTATGCCTTCGGTGTGACTGCACCTAAAACAAGGTACTCCCCGTTCATTTCAATGGAGAAGGTGATGAGAATTTCCTGTTGGGACATGATCATGCCTTACATAGCAATCAGTCTGATTCAAATAGTGAGGCTCTCTAGTGTCCATCAGATTTGACAGAGGGGGAGTGACTGACCTGTTGTTCAAGAAATACTTATCAATTATATTCTTCTTTCTTGTTCAATGAATACAAGCATGGATGCAAGGCTGGCAGTGAATCCAAGGGCATTAACACTGCATTAGTTGTCTGCGTAGATGGTTCCTAAATTTTAGGCTGCATCTGCATGTCTGCAAATGTGTCAGTGTGGACCCTCATATGGACATAGGAGGTGACAAAGGTGATGTTGTGCAAACCCTTGCAGAGCCTGTGGCTATGTAGTATTTTTTGAGTTATTCCAAAAGCACTGATGCTCTACGTTGCTGAAATATGTTCTTCGACCATCTACATCACATATGTCAGAGTCAGAGTTTTTGTGTGGATTACTCACTCTCTTGTATTTTCTTTCTACTGTCTAGTATTTCTAAACTCTTTAGGACTTGCATGCACAAGGTGCGTGTATATGTGGTGTAATGTGTTCAGTGGAACATTATTAACTCGGTGATGTAACATGTATTTGTTGATGGTTACATAAACACAGCTCCGCACAAGCAAAGGTCTCACTTCCCTGGAGCTCATTCACTTTGATGCCCTGCTGTCTGCTGCTCTGAAATGGTGATGTACGAATGCACCATGACACAAACTGCACAGTGCAGCCACAGAAAAATACCAGGCTCAAAATGAAAGCCTCTTAATGGGGTCTTTAGTGTACAGAAAATTCTCTACAAACCATGAGCGTGTGCATATAAAAAGCAATACATCATAAAAATAAGCATGAGTTGCTCGTCCTCTTACCTCCCCCATGCAGCCTTCTTTCTCCATGTATTTCTTGACATTGTGCCAGATGCGACTCCTGGTGAGGAGCTGGCCACCAGTGACCTGTTCAAACTTCTCGTAGCTGCCATATCGCTGCAGAGCAAGCTCCATGATGTGTACTGCCTGCAAGAGAGGACAAACTCATAAAGTTAGAGCTGCCGTGACTAATGACTGTCATGACACCTTCTGTTGGTGGGGCTTTGGACAGCCAGTACTTATACAGTACTCCAAAGCAATAATCTTACAACTGGCCTGCCCTGTTTATCAGAATCAGATTTATTGGCAAGTAGGTTTTCACATTTTTGGGCGGATGATGGTGGAGGTCTTGAAGCAGGCTGGTATGTGGCATGTCTCCAGATGTCTGTGACTCAACAGAGAGAGACACAATAATCTGACCCCAGCAACTCTAGATGTCAGAACTTTCTTATCCACCCCCTTCATAACTACATCTCTTTGTATTTGAAGAAATTGTTATGAACATTACAAGCATGCTCACATTCACTTTACTAGATAATCTGGATAAAGTGCTGGGGTCATCTCTGCTCAGGCTTATGTTTCTTGTCCCATCGACTAGTTCAATGATTGTTATCGTAACTGATACAGAGTCATTACACACAAACCATTAACATCTTGTCAGTAAAGTGTGCACTTAATGGACATAAACTGCTTCTTCTTAGTAGCTGACAGGGGTGATAATGGTGGAAAAAAACCTACTGGTGAGTCTGACTTTCTCTGGATTATTTCTTGCTTTTTAAGAGACAGATACTCTTTTAATCTTAACTTTTGAATCATGTCTAGCATGTGTAGTAGAATTCTCATGAGTCTTGCCTAGCAATGGTTTTGAAGTTGTGCTTCTGCATAACTGTAGCTTACAGTCTTACTATACATTGAATGAAGGGCTGCTCCACATTTCCATGAATTATTACTCTGTTTAGGACTAGTGAACTCCATTTCCCTCAACAAATGCCATAAATATAATACTGCAAGGCAAATGTAATTCAAGTGACAGTCCACTTTCAAAGTGCAGCACAGAGAAAGAAAACGTGACAAACTAGGGAAGAGTCCAGGAAAAACAAAAAAACATGAGCATTCTCCGCAGGATCACTTTACTGCATTTCCGGTTGAGCTCATTCTTTCTCTTACTATCTGTGTACTTGCGTTACTAAAATAGCCTGCAACTGAACACCACAGGGCTGTTTTCCTGTTCAGTAGAAACACGTCTGATCTCATACCCTTATTTATTGATTTGAGGTGGGGGGAGGCTGATCAAACCATGAATCTGAATCCTTGTATTTTAAAAAACATAGTTTTGAAAATACTGTGTGTGATTTGTCTCCAGCTTCAGTGTTGCTCATGGGATGTACTCACACTGTTAATGTTGATGTAAGATAGCCACTGAGGCTGTTTTAAACTAATCATCCATTGTTTGCTAAGCAAAGTCTTTCCACTTTCACTTGGACAACAGACTCACACTGCATCAGCTCCGATTGGCCCTGACGCTAAACAGCTTTGGCAGCAAGTCTCTGTGGTCACAGTATCCAACTTGACCGCTCAAACCAGCGTCCAACCTCATGCACTTGGGGAACTGTGATGAATGACCTGTCACTGCCTTCGGGCCAGAAACTGGTGCAATCTTGCACTCGCTGCCTGAGTGTACTTTCTTTTTTGGTATTTTATCTCTGTCCCATTTTTGCCTTGATACAGTACTTATGGTATTTTGAGAAACACAGAGACTCAGGATAAATCTGAGCATGAGATGAGCAGGGTTAAGTGTTTGGATTTTTCATATCATATTTATTCAGTTTGTATGCTATTTTTTCTGTTTTATTTGCTAACATGAAAGTCTAAATACTGTTTCCACAGTAATTAGAATTTAAAACATGTTTACAGCCTGGAACAAAAATGGTTTAAGCTAATTTCCCCCTTCATGACAACTTTATATTAAGGCCTGAAGTTACGCGTAATTAAGGGCCAGTTTGAGACAGGTTGGGATGTCACAGGGGCCTAGCTGCAGCAACCAGGCTTCATTTGGCCCGCCTTAGCTTCACCTCTTTGGCCATTTTTGGATTAGCTGTGAGTTAGGTGAGTCAGCCACAGCCAAGAAGGCGACGGCTGGACCCACCCACATTGAGCTTCACAATCTCTCTTCAGAGACCTACTGCGACAAAATCACAGAGGTTTAGTTCATGTTTCTTATAGTCTGTGCCTTTAAGCATTTCAAAACAGGCTGTTTGTTGCAGATGATACTGCTCGCACTTAAACCAAACCACAAAAATTAAACCAAAAACAAACACAAACACAAACACACCCTTACCTTTGTCAGGAAGCGATCAGAGGCATTGTTATGACGTGCCAGGACAAGTGGAGAAACGGGGTTGCTGTACTCAAACTGTGGATTGTAGTTGAAGTCAGACTTGAAAAACTTGGCCTTCTCTTTCTCAACATTAGATGGCTTTATGGCTGTAAGGATGCAGAGCTTCTTGGCATTTTCCACCTCCCTTGTGATTGCTGCTTTGTGCAGCGAGGGAAGTTTAGTGCGAGGAGAAGTGGGAATGCACATCTTCCTGAGCTGTGGAACTGTCCGAGGGTTTAGGCCCATGGTCCTGCCCACAACTGCGATGTTTCGTGCTGGTTTAGGCAGATTGGAGCTGCTTCCTGAGAGGACACGATTTGTCTGCGCAGGTTTCCCGACAACTTCTGGAGCACGTACCTTTTTAAAACCCAGGCCTGGACGGTTTCTTTTACTAAATGTGGTGCTACATTTCCCTGATGTTTTTGGTCTCTTGTATGGGGACTGCTTGGGGATCAGCTTCTCCTCCTTCTCAGCCTGCAGCAGGACGTTATAGCTGCTGGAGCCAGTGCTGAAGAGGTCTTTGAGGACGCCTGAAGAAATTTTTTCCAGGTACACTTGGCTTGGACTCAGTGCGTTGTCAGCAGAGTTTAAGATATACTTTTTGGACATTTCTACTTCTGGCCAGTGGAGTCTTTCTGAAGAAATAAGATGAGAGACAAGTGGGAGGACAGTGAAACTGTTTGCTGCTTATTTTAGAATCACGTTCACGTGCATACCTCTTCTAGATAGCTTGATAGACTAATCCTCTTATCAAGGCAAGATAAAATTAGATCTATTGTGATGCCAAGCTAAAAATAAAAACAAGGTACTTATAAATGGATACCCTAACTTGTAACCAGTGTGATGAAATTTGTTTTTACATCTCGCTAAGCAAAGTAAAAACTGTCTTCTACAATCATAATAATGTGATCTGACTCAAATAAACCCAAAGTGACTTGTGTTATGTCAGCAGTCCATGGCTATGCACCATTCAGTTTCATGAGAGTGCAGGGCTCTGCGATTTCCAGTAAGGCGACCTGGAACATCATCACAGTGAGAAGGCTCTCTGTTCGGACAGGAGCGCTGAGCCGGAATCCACGCAGCACAAACTAATGACCTCAGCAGCACAGTAATCATTGCCTTGCTCAGCCACCCAATCAAATACTATTACCTAACACATTAGGTATCTCATCATTCTATGTCAATTGCTACTAATACATCACATTCTAGGCAGAAATGTAATCAAGCCAGCATTCCTGTGTAGTGAATACTACTATGTGAGTACATTTAAGACCTCTTCAAACCAGTTACCATATATGAAATCACATTTATCACAGCTAATTCAACTACACAACATGAATCAGTGCTCAAGCATCTCAGTGTTATCCATCACATTAATCAATGTGTTAACTGAAAGCACCTGATTACTAATAATCAGCGTGATTCAGCACTGAGTGAGCTCACCAGAAATCTGTTTTTCAGACTTCCATGATTCTTCCCAACAGAAAGCATAGGATACAGTACGTTATGCACTATAAAATATAATGTAGGTTATATATAATGCAAAATAAAATGAGAATACCGGTAACACATGCATCACTAAAATATATTCGGTTTTCGTTTATGTTCTTTAAATTTTCCTAGTAATAATAAGTTAATTAATAGCTCACTGGGGATCACGTTTCAACTTACCCACCTTTTACTGAGCTAACCACTTAGGATAACGATGCCATATCAGCAGTTTTAAGAAAAGTTAACATTACTAATATAACGGTATTACATTTAAAGTAGTACCTTTTTAACCCGCAAAATAGACAAGCTCCTACATAGAGTCACAGAAAAATAAGAGAAACAAATGCAATATTACCTGTTACTTTTATTGACTCAAGCATCCTCTGTTAAAGCTCTCTGTAATGTTTAGCGTCAACCTACAATACCACAGTGCTGTTTGAAGAGTACCAACGTCACTTAGCAAGTTGACCTAACAGTTAGCTGAATTAGCCGGCTAATGTCCAAATCATCATAGACTGTATGGTCCAAATAGAAAGCCAACGATGAAAGCGAGTTACCTGTAAGTTAGTTACTACGTATTACGACACGTAAGACATATTTTAAAACCATTTTAAAGGCTGGGCTGACATTACACGACCTGCCTACACTAACAGAGCCCCCGCCAAACTGGCAAGAAAGAGCCGAGCAGCAGACTGTGTGGTACAGGATCTGCACTGACTTATCTGTTTCCATGGTTTCGTTAGGACATACGCAATGCACGTGGATGCTCATGGGAAATGAAGTCCCTCTCTGAGAAGAGGTTAAGAAAATATTGAGGTTTGATGTTAGGTGGACGTTTTTAAAGTTCAGCACTAAATTTAATACTCGTTTTATTTAAACTCAGAAATGTGTTGCAAGTAGACGCCATCATTGTAGTTTTCTGTGGACTGTTAGCACCTGCCACCCAGAAAGCCATAAAAGTATGGGAACGGATAAAAAAGGTAAATTTAGGATCAGAGGTTGACGAGGCTGAAGAACGTACGCGTTCCAGGAAAAGTGGGCTACTAAGATCCTAGTGACAAAGTGAGTTTGCCCCACTTTAACACCAACACTGTAACTGGTCACTTTACAGCATCTACAACAAAAGTCTAGAACCTAATTTTTCTTTACATTGCAGAAATAGCAAAGGATTTAATTCATATGGGTGCCCATTTTAATCTTCTCCACACCTGACTTAATTCAAAACATTTTTCTCAATACAAAAAAAAAAATACAGTTATTTTATGTGGCACGTCTGCAAACCTTATCTGGTGACTCTTTTCATCCTATAGGGGGCGACTGGCTTTACATTAAAAACAACAACAAAACTGAATGGATGATACTGCATATGGCAACATTTTAACATTTATTCCTATTTAAAAGCACTATTCCAGTAACTATTCCATTACTTAGTTAGTAGTGCTTATTCTACTACTAACTAAAAAGTAGTTACTAGTAGTAGTAGTAATAAAACAGTTAAACGGTGAAAATATAAAACAATGTTAATTCAAATATAATATAAAACGCAATCAATCAGAATTTGTAATGAAAAAACTGCATGTATACTGTATGAAAGTCTTCGCTTGTGTCAGTTGAAACTAAAAATGTGTATTAGGTCAGCGTGCGTTTTAACGTTAACCGGTTGTTTTCAGCATTTCAATACACAGATGACTGATTCATAAAAAATGTGGAGTGGATCATACAGTGAGGTCTGTGGTCTGGGCAAAGTGCAAAAACTAGCTGTGTCTCAATACTGTATAAAGAAAGTGACAGTTTCTTTTAATACACCCAAGCTGTGATTGGCTGAACATGTGTAAAGCCAGGCTGCTTGTTTCTGATTGGCTCTCGGCGCTTCGTTCAACTATTGGAGTTTGCGCAGTAGGAGCAGCGCTGAAATTCAAATTTGAACAGTTGTTTTGTGCGAAGAGGTCCAGAGAAGACAGAAGAGAAGCTGAGAGTCGCTCAGCTCGCCTCAAAACGCCCTGTTTGTGTAGTTTACACGATTTTAAAAATACACAGCTGTTGAACTATTGCCCGAGTGGAGATAAACTCTCCAAAATGGATCCATTTACTGAGGTGAGTCGGTGCGCTTACTACATTAGATATGTGACGTTATCTACGTTAACGTTAATGTTAGCTAACATAACGCTAAGTTGAGTCTGAATAGCTGCGTTGACATTACCTGCTAATGCTAACTTGCCTAACGTAACATTTTCTATTTCTAGAATGTTATTATCGACAAGCTAGTTACCGCAGGAGGCTTTGTTGTTTACTTCCATAGTACTTTAACGTAACGCTAAGCTAACGTTGGCATATGAATCGTAATAGATTCGAAGAAGGCCAGTGAAAACATGTCACGTGTTGTCTTTGTCTTTTCAGTCGTCAGCAACCATATAATACTCCAGGTCCTTCAGCTTTTAAAGGCAGTAGCGTTATGTGTAGGGATGTTTGGCCAATTAGTAAGTCAACGTAACGTTATTCAAATGAAACGACTTTGTCTCCATTTAAGGCAAAGGTATGTGTCAGCTCTGGAAATTGTCCAACACTTGGCCCTCTTTGCCTGATTCTTTCTCTTGTTATTAATGCGTTCATGCTGTTGGTGCAAGCTAGAACCAGAAATGAATTATATCTGATAACAGTTCTTGTTGATCCGGTATTCTTGGCAGTAGAGTTTGAAATTTCAAGTCCAGGAACTACAAGCAGGAGTGGCTTACTCCTGAGGAATGCTGCTGAATGTGACATCAGGTTTTCCATACTGCCTGGAGAAATTGTGCAGGCGGTGCAGTGCAGCAGCAGGAATGTGTTGGGGCTTGCACAGTCAACATACAGCACAGTAAATCAGATTGTCTGACAGGCTGAGTGTGAGGTCAAGAGAAGGGAGTGTCCTTAAGAAAAGAGGAAGGAAAGGGGGCATGCAAACTGAGCCCTTTTTATCTCTGGTGGAGAAGGACTCTTTTGTGTGTCTTAGGATGTTTGTTAAAGTAACGTTAGCCCATATAGAGATAGTCAGTGGGCTGTGCCTTGTTCCGCATATTTGTATTTACAGATATCCAGCAGTTATCCCGGGAAGATCAGGAAGGATCAGCATAATTTGGCCTACTTTAAAAAACAGATTAATTGCAAGTCTCAGTCTGTTGGATCATAAACATCTTCTGCTTGGCTCTGTTGAAGATATTTCAGTGACACTGTTTGGCATCACTTTGTAGTTATGTCTGGTTGGAAAATGGTTGAAACATGCTTCCTAATTGAATATGTTGTTTACTAGAATAAATTCTGCCATCAACAACAAAAATATTTGATCAAATTAAGGGAGTGGTGTGTTAATTTAATGTAAATTCAACTTTATTATCCATGGCATGTGTTAGATTCTTAGAGTGTGTGTGTATATATATATATATATATATATATATATATATATATATATATATATATATATATATATATATATATATATATATATATATATATATATATATATATATATATATATATATATATATATATATATATATATATATGAGGTTCACAATTTGGTTGATGACGGTCTCTCCTGGAAGGCATTCATAGTGTTGCACTGGATTTTTCATGTGAAAAGTGATTGTTGTGTTCAGGATTTAAAAACAGCTAGAGACAGAGTTCACCCACCTCTAGTGTTATGGCCATGTCAGTGATGGCTCTGTTATCGAGTTCTGAGATGTTGGGGGACCAATGATTTTGGAAAGCAGTGTATAGGGGAAAAAAACTTTTTGCTTCAAACTACAACTGGTGACGATTTTGTTCTTTACATTCTCTGTATGTATAAATCAGCCAATAGAGTAACAATTGAGTATGTTTTTTGTCAAACCAGAAACTGTTGGAGCGGACCCGGGCTCGCAGAGAAAACCTGCAGAAGAAAATGGCAGAGAGACCAAATGCAGCAAACAGACAGATGGTCAAAAGACCCAGAGAGCCACTGGCTGACACAAATAGTGTGAGCAGTGAGTTAGTCATTGATAAAGGTATGAACACATTTGTTGGATTGTTGTCTGCTGAGACTTGTAATGTCAGTTTGACCACTGAGTTGCAGCTCTAATACTGGTTAAATTTCTCTTTCACTTCCACCCAGTTCCACAGGTCTCCAAACCTTCTCCGTCCAAGCGCCGGTGCTCAGGGGAAAATGTCCAGCCTACATCCCGGGAGGAGAACCAGGAGCCACTGGTGACACGAGCTGTGGCTCCTGTGCTGTCAGACCCTCCGACAGACAAGAAACCCCCAGTGGGGCCTGCCAGCGTTCGACATTCCTCCTCCCTGGAGAAGACTGCTACCCGTCCTGCTGTCCAGTCTCAGCCAGGGCAGCTGAAAACTGCAGAGCCGGAGAAGATGGCGGTCGCCTCTGCCCCTGATCTTCCAAGCAGCAGAGCAGCAGAGATGGTGCCCTCCAGTTCAGCCCTGCAGGGGAACAAGGAGGACCTGGTGGAAGATCAAGCTCCATCTGCTGCTGGCATGAAGTCTCGTCTGCAGAGGCTAGCAGAGCAGAGAAAGTGTTGGGATGGCAGTGGTAAGAGTATTTTGTGTCCTGATTGAGATCCATCCATCGTCAAATGTTTATCCTGTGTACAGGAGCCAATCCCAGCTGACATCGGGCCCTGAATGAGATGATTTTGTTTGGATTAAATAATTGTAAATAGCAGGTAGTATTTGAAGACACAGAAAACAAAAGCTCCACACCAAAATAGCAAAACATAGAGTTAGAATCTGCTGTAGCTGACTGACAGAGATTTTAACACAGGAACTTTATAGTGGGGGTGCTGAATCAAAGGTTATTTCTTGTTGCTGTATTTTCCTTTTTAAAGCATATTCATATAGAAGTCTATTGAAGTGCATTTATTTAGAACACTGGTCTACAAGCTTGAGGTCAATGTATGTATGATTTTATTAGTCGAATGAATTAATACTGACTTGCCTGTCTTGAGTCATCACTGTTATGGTAGCTTGTAAGAGTCAGCTTGCAAAGAAAGTAATGCTACACTGTGTCAAAAGAAAAATGCTCACTTGGTGTTTCAGGAATTCAAAGTTTGCACAATGTCGTGGGTGTGATGTCCACTCTTTCAGATGTCTGATAGTCATATACTTTGTGCCCGCCCAAATTGAACATATTTCATACCTTTTCAGGAACCTCTGATGCAGTTGAAGACTGCACTCCCCTGTCCGTGTTGAAGAGGCAAGCTGAGGTTCCACCAGCGGTCGTCCCCACCGTGTCCTCAGCAACTCCACTGGGAAGGAGAGGCAGACTGGCCAACCTCGCTGCCACCATTGGATCCTGGGAGGACGACCTAAGCCATGCTAACATTCCCCATGAGAATGCAAAAGAAAAGCCCGTTCCCAAGTTAGCTGTCAGAGAGGCTGCTGTGCCTGCCGGCTCTAAACCAAGTGCTGCAGGCCATGTGGTAGCCAGTTCAACTGCAAGCAGCAAGTCTACAGCCAGCTCTAGTCAGGTAGGTTTCCTGGAACTGTCCACTGATGGTGCTTCATTACTTTTCTCACAAGAGTGAGCATTTTACGCTATATAAATGAAATTGAATTGCTTATGACTGCATTGTATCAAATTTATAGATATTATATTCTGAGAATGTTTATCTTGGGAATGTCCTCGAATATGTTTATTGTAGAGCATCAATCAACAGAAAATCTCTGTCATCTTTCTAGCAAAAACAACAAACATTTGCTTTTTCCAACTTCTCAGTGTGGGAATTTACTGGTTTTATTAATGAAATATTAAAGTACATTGGCATCATTTGGCTATTGGACTGTTGGTCTGACAAAACAAGAGATTTGAAGGTGTCAGCTTGGACTGTGGGGAAATACACAGGGCATTTTCACTACATTTTATAGACCAAAAAATTAATGGGTTAATCAAGAAAATGATTTGCAGATTAATAAACAGTGAAAATAATCATTAGTCACAGGCCTAATTACATGGTCGCCGTATTAGGCTGAGTAAGAAAGATAACATAACCGTGTGGGACAAGGCTGCCCCTTTTATTAGATTCAGGGTGGCGGTCTTTGCAACGTAATCTGGCAAATACTGCATTGCTCTGTGGTAACTGAAGCAACATGCCCTCACCAATGCAGCCATAACATTTTTAACACCAGGCTTTTTTTTGTCTGAATGGCCAGTTAGACCACCAGAGCACCAGGATGACCCAACTTGTGTTGTTTTTGAACATGCTTTATAAATAAGGGGACTATTGTATGCCTTTTCAACAGGCTGTGTATTCTCCAGTAAAGTCCGGCCGAGTGGTTCTCCCGAGTCCTCAGAAGGCTGACATTCCTGCAGCCAGCCCAGCACTAAAGTCAGTATCAAGTCCTCAGAAGAGTTCCATTCAGGGATCCGCCTTCCCGTCCAATCTCCAGAAGGCCAGCCCCCAATCCTCAACATCAGTGCCTCAAAGTCCCCTGAAGAATCAGGCCCCCTCCAGGGGTCTCTACTCCACCTCTAGCCCCCAGAAGCCAGAACTCTGTGCCAAGCCCACCATTGCTGCCCCGACTGTACCCCAGGAAAAGGCCTCTGCTGGTGCTCCTGGTGAGTTGATTTTCATTTTGGAATTATTTGATAAAATTAGCTACATGGTGAGGATTCAGTTCTTCAGTGTCTTTTTACATATTTTCTTAAGCAGAAGTGTTGAAATGTGCTGTGGCAGAGTTGATGAATTACCTGGAAACACATTAGGTTGTACTGTGTAATTTTGGGTGTCCTGCTGTATATTATTAATACAGCAACTGACATGGCTGCAGTTCAGTTTATGGTACTGGATCTCAACAAAAGAGAAAATGGATCTACACACTAAAAGATATATGATATATAGCTTACCGTTATGCCCAACAGGTGTAAAATCTTTCGTGGAGCGATTTGGAGAGAGATGCCAGGCACGTACCAACCAGAGCTCCCCAGCAGGGGGCCCTACCCATGCCAAGACTCCTACTGTAACTCCATCTCCAGTCACACCAAACACCAGACTGGTACAGGAGAGGCTCAGAGCTGCCCAGGCTGCAAACACAAGCACAGCTGATCTCACCCAAAGACAGAAGCTGGTAGGTTAATATTAGAGATGCTGTTGTGTAGCATGTTATTATTGTTTTGTTTTTATATCACAATAGCTACATTATATTTTATGCCTCCACTTTTTTCAGGAGCGAGAGTCTGAGCTGGCTCAGATTCGCAGTCGCTTTCAGAAGGGGAACAGTGTGTGGAAAAAAGATGAAGCGGCAGAAACCAGTAAAAACACAGACATCAAGGTTGGCCAACAAATGACAGTTATTTTGACAACTCACCAAACGGTCATGGGTTTATTATGCAAGATTGTATTTAATAAATATTATGCTCTTTAGGACCAGTTTTACAAGTCTGTGGAGGCTGAAGTTGCCCCACGTGAACCACAGGATGAACCTCCAGCAACCTCTACTGATTGTACACATACACCAACAAAGTGCATTCCTCCAGGTATTCAATGAGATTTCAGATTGGTGATTGAACAGTTTTATTTGATAGTGTCCAGACATGGGAGTGATCAGTTACTAACATTTTGCAGTTTGCAGGCATTGGTGGAGGTGTTCAGTCTGCACATGCGTATGCGAAGTTAACATAGATTATGTTCGTTAGCAGGTCATGGGTTGGTGGTCTCGCCTCCAGCCTTAACATCCAGTCCTCTGAGGGGGGTCGCCCATACTGTAGAGAAAACAACAGAAGAAGAGGAAGTGATCAAGGAGCGAGAGATGAATGTGGACCAGTCCATCAACTCTGCTGTTATCAATGATTTGTTTGATGGAATCCTGGAGCAGAGTGAAGATCAGGAGGAGGAGGAGGAAGAGGAGGAAGATGCTTTGAATATCTCCTCCATGTCCCTCCTCACTCCACTAGCAGAGACTGTGGCTGCAGTGGTGAAGAGTCCAGAGAGAAGGATGATGGTAGGCACCAACATGATGTCTCTTTCCACCACATACATCATCGTACTTCATGTAAGAGTGACTGTTGGACCTTTCTGGGCAGGGCAGAGAAACGGCGTAACATTTTCTTCATGTCTTTGTGCAGACATCCACTCCAGCCAGCTCATTCATCGTAAAGAGCAGCACTCCAGGCAGTGCTTCCAAACCCAGCAAGTTCCAGAGAACTAACATGGTACGAACCGCCTCCTCAGACAGCATTGAGGCCTCAGACGAGGACCACAAACTGCCATATAGGTAAGTGCTCCCATGTCACGCTCGGTTGTATTAAAATGGGCTGTCCTCGCTGTTGCAGTAAATGTGTATCTTATACGTATCTGTGTGTGTTAGCATTGATGCATATAGGTCCATCAGGGTGAAAGAGACGGAGAAACCCAATGTGAAACAGGTGATTGTGAGAAAAGAGGACGTTTCTAACAGAATGGAGGAACCCAGAGGATCCAGTCTCTTCAGTATCAAACAGAAGATGAAGGTTCGGAAGAAATGCTTTCAGTTTGCAGTTTGCAGTGTAAAGTGTTCATGTGAATTGACTTGATTCGCGTACTTGGTATGTACTTGAGGCTAAGTTTTACTCTATCCCGCTGTTTCCACAGATTCTGACGAATGAGATGAACCTGCAGCAGACAGTTATTCATCAGGCCAGCCAGGCACTCAACTGCTGCACAGATGAAGAGCATGGCAAAGGATCCCAGGTGGAGGCTGAGGCAGAGAGGCTGCTGCTGGTGGCAAGTAAGTTCCAGACAACAGATGAATACTTATTTAGCTTTATTTATAAAAAATGTAGCCGTAGCTTTGTACAATTTATGTTTTTCTTTATTAGATTTGAAAAAAATTTAATTGTATACTTAAACATTTAAACACAATTGTACAAAGCTAATTAATGCTATCAGTCAAAGTGCCAATACGTTTAGGCTGCTGCTTCTAGGCTACCTTTTTTGTAAGTAATAAAGCCACAATACGGAACCACCACTACAGCCCAACGTATATATTTTAAAGCCACCATCTGTAGGCTCCTAGAGGTAGTATCTAACTGTAGAAAGCTTGACTTGCATTTCTTTTGACTTTTTTTAGCGGAGAGGAGGGAAGCACTGAAGGTCGAGCTGGAACGTCTGAAAGGAGATCCAACAGGCCAGAAAAAGGCCTCTGTAGCCCCAGAACCTACTAGCATGTCTGCCTCCAAGGGCTCCATCACCCTGCAGGAGTTACGCCTGCCTCTCAAGGCAGACTTTGTTTGCTCCACTGCCAACAAGCCAGGTAGACTCAAAATGCATAATGCATAAAGTTTGGTAACACAGCACTTTTTAACATTTTCCCCAGACATCAGTTGTCACTAATTCTCAATATAGTACACACTATTCTGTCTTTTTGTTGTGTGTAAATAATAATGTCAGGAATCAGAGTTATGGGAAAACTGCAGCCTTTCTTCGACTTTGTTCTTACCTTCATTAGTGTTTTGACAGTGTGGAAATAATCTTATTCATATCCTTGTTGCTTGCATTGAAATTCCATGGAAGCTTTATCTGAATTTAGTCACTATCTGAGTGCTGTTGGTTGTATCATTCTGTCTTTTGATTATTCCAGATTCAACCAAACATTCCTTCTTCATCATGATTCGTGCTGGAGCAGAGAACACTGTGGCCACGCCTTTAGCCGGCACACACCGCAGCCTCAGTGGGGACACCCTCGCGTTCCCCACAAAGTTCACCATGTAAATCCCACACTGCTCATAAGAGAATTCACATCATGTCATTCAAGAACTGATTATTATTTGATTGTGATTCAGACATTGGTCACCTTTTGACATGGTGTTTAATATGGTTGTTTGGTTAAACTGAATGTGTTAAAGTTTGTCTCAGTCTATACTGAATAGGAAAAAGTTCACACTCTGACAATAATGAAACGTTACATGACAAATACCCCTCTTCACTTTCAGATCTGATGTTTCCAGTGACTTTGAGGTTAATATTGAGGTCTATGGCCTGGTGAGTGCTCTGACCACACATACGTATACATATATGCACATATTGCATATTACATGTTGTAAACAAACCCTAAAACCTTTCACACCTTTTAAACACATACTACATTCTCTTAAACATTCATGTCGTGTTTTCCACATCTGCTTTTTAAATTATTAAATTAAGTTCTGGAAAACTAATATCTGTAATTTCTTTGCAGCTGTGTTGATTTCATGATTTTTGAATTCATATGTGGCCCTTAAGATATAATGAAAAGTGTCTTGCAACAAATTCAGTATCATCAACTAGTAGAAATTGGCTATCTCAGTACTACTGTTTCATTTCTCATATTGATGATTCATCGAGTGTCTGCAAATACTGATACCATCATATCATTTTGTGATATGTATTAATTTGTAAAGAAGTCTTTATATGCACTTTGTTTAAGGCAATAATGAAAACATAAATTATAGTTAAATCACATAACAGAGGTATTTATTTTTTGGATTAAATTAAGACTTCACTTTTTCAGCCACAGAAAGTTTGGTTATCTGTGCTGCATTACTGAGCCCATACCTTTTATTTTTTTTTTCTCCCTCCATAGTTGCATAGTGTTTTCCCTTTTGTTTTTACCCACTCGTTTATCTTTTGATATATTAGCCATGTAAAACATATATTTTAGATAAAGAGTACGTTTTAAGTATCGCGCTGCTATTTAAAATTACTGGCTGCTGATTTGTTACAATCCTGTGCATTAACTGACATCCCCAGGTGCAGAAGCGTGAGGTCTGCAATGACAAGAAGAAGAAACCCAGCAAGTCAAAGGTAAATCCCCATTTTGTGGTGTTTTACCAAGTGGATCACACATTTGTCAGTTAATGATAGGACATGCTTTAATACTGTGTGTGTGTGTGTGTATCCAGATAATGTGGTTCATGAGGCCCATGATTTGTGTATGTCGGTATGAACAGTTTCTGTATCATATGCCTCACATGTCAGTGGGTGTGCACTGTGTGGGCAGATATAGTCTAAAGAATATCGCTACTGCATACTGGCCAGCAACATACATGTCCCTCAGACACAGTGTACTGTCTCACCCATCTTTCCTTTTGAAGCAAAAACCCATTATTTGCTTTACTTTGTTTCTAGGCTATCACTCCAAAGAGATTCCTCACCATCACTGTAAGCATTTCAGATGGGGTTTTTTTCTGCTGCCCATCACACTCATATTTCTCTCAATGTTAAATCAGGATGTAACTCTTAGTTCTCATCTTCTTGAAATGTATTTAATTTGTTTGCTTCATGTTTTGTCTTGCAGAAAAGCGTCCAGACACCAGGTATGTCAACATTTAATGCCAATCTAAAGAAACAGTTTGTACTATTGAGTCAGATGTAAGAGACTTTTGCCTCTACAAAAAGCTTCAGCAGGATTTCTGCAGGTCCTTTTTTAAAAAGTATAAAAATCCAATAACGAACTAAAAACTGAGTGGATTATGTAGTTGACGTTACTTTTATACAATTGCATTGACTTCAGTCTCGCGTTTAAATGTGTTTTGGGGAAAATTTTGTTTTGATTGCGCTGCAACAAGTACAAAACGAAACCAAACTGGAATCAATAACCACTGCTGCAAACTATGCAAAAGATAGCTACTTCTATAACAAACAAGTTCAATTGTTTCTGTTAATGTCACTTTCATCTAATAAGGGTAAATGCTCATGGGAACTTTGGGTGGAACAGTTAAAGGCATTATAGTCACATGGAAAGCCACCAGCAAACTGCAGCCATCATCACCTAATATTGTTCTGTAGTCACATTTGTGATGTTCCAAAGTCACCCAGTGCACCCACTCTGAACTAACAACAGTTAGTTGTTTGGATCTACACCAACATAAAAAACAGAGCAAATGTTCATGTTGAATGTGAATTAATTCATTTACTTAGCAAGTTATTCTTGGACTTGGCTAAAAATGTCTCAAAAGTTCTTACAAAATCATAAATGGAACTTGTTGAAACCTGCAGAAACCGAATCATGGTAGATGTGATTGTAGTCTCCCAGTCAAAGCTGAGGTTGTTCTCTCAGACTTGAAAAAGACCTTTGTTTTCACTGCTTGGACATTACTCCATAGGACAAGTAAACTACTGTTGAAGTGTAAAATTGGTGAGCTCTGATGTGAGGTATTAATGATCTCATCTTTCTGTGTGTAGTTTTGGCCAGTCCAGGAGGCCCCAATGCTGTTCGCACCAGTAACTTCGTCATGGTTGGATCACACAAGCTCACCCTGTCCTCTATAGGGAAAAACAAATTTCCTTTGGAGAAGGTATAGAAGCTATTAATGTCACCTTTTCAGTTCCTCCTCATCGTTTTTCCCACACATTTTTCAAGCACTTTATTTCAAGCACACAATATCTTTATTGCTGTATGTAAGACCAACACACCTGGATCAGTCATATATTTGTGTACAGGCTTTACAGAGACTCACAGTAACCCTGTTTGTTCTCATCGGACAGTATGTTCTGCCTGTGGACTCATTTACATGCCTTGATATCTTTCTTTTAGATCAAATATGTACGAAGTGAAAGAGAACTACTCAGTGGCATGTTTCATACCAAGGTTACTACTTGCCCTATGTTTCTGTTCTGGTTGTGTGGGAAAGGTGATGAACACACTATAACAAGGAATTTTTTTAACTGCGGTGATACTCAGATTATCCGATTAATCTGATCACAAATCTCATTGGGGAATGTTTGTCTATGATTGTCAGGTGCTTTCAAGCAACTGTTAACAATCTTAAAATAAAGTTGCAATGTATTTTTATTTGTTTAACCATATCTTGTACCTTTTTAACATTTCTCCCCATACTGTGAACATGATGTCAAAGCGTTTAAGTGTCTTGTCCTTTGGATTCAAGGTGCCATTCCTGTGCCCTCTGGAGGGCCACGTCTACCTCAAGATGCAGTGTGAAGTTGGCACAAAGGTGGAGGAGAGGGGCTTCCTGGTGAGTGCATGTAGATCAAATCATCGCCACAGATAAACCCATGCTGAGGCAAGCATTGGTTTATTAATGCTGTACTTGTATGTTTGACTCCCCCCACAGACAATGTTTGAAGATGTTAGTGGATTTGGAGCCTGGCACAGGAGGTGGTGTGTCTTATCAGGATACTGCATCTCCTACTGGACCTACCCAGATGATGAGAAGCGCAAGGTAAGGCTGTTCTGGAGGCTCATGGTGGCCTGAATACTGAGAAACTTCAGGTTGGGCTTTCCTTTTTGTCACCTATCTCTACTAGGGATGAAACGATTACCGGTTTAACGGTAAACCATGGTAAAATTCCCAACGGTTATTATTACCGTACACATTTTAATTACCATGAGAACCGGTTACGGTTAACTGCGCTGTTATAATCTCACAGCAAACACTGTCCAGCGTCAGCGGGGGGGGGTCGATACAGCATAGTATCGTGATATTTGCCATGGCAATACTGTATCAATACACGGACGCCAAGTATTGATATTTTAGTATATAAATTGCAGATGGGAGTTTTAACTTTTTGGTACTAGAATAATAAAATCGTTTGCTTTTTTAGTCCACTAGAAAACTTAACAGGACCATATAGAGGACTGAAAAAGTGATATGAACAAACAGAGATATGTCTCTCTTTAGATAAACAGATGTTGACAAAGTGTGACGTTAGGGACCTAGTTGGAAAAAGGTAATAAATTGCAATATATCTCAATATATTTAAAATCGAAGTCGGTCATATTTTAGTTTTTATGAGTGCTGAGAAAATAACCGTACAGTGAATGCAGGGTGAGTTAATGTGTAGCTTTGGTTTGTCTCTCTGACTTGCTAATAGCGTGTAAACTGAAGCTCTCAGTGTTGCTGCTCTTGTAAAAACGCTACATGTAGTTCTGCTGCTGTGTGTCGTGTGTCGGCAGACTCTATTCGTCCACTGCACATGATAACACGTTACGCAGTTCAGTCAACCAACCAGCATATCTAGAAACGCTCCAGACTGCTCTGTATTTATGTCAGTTTTGGGGCTCATTGCAGTAACTATCACTGTCTTCTAAAACTTATTTGTTTTCATGTAATTGTGCACGGGGTCATTGTATTACATATATAATATAAAATCTTGATAATGCACACTTATATGATTTTCATACAAAAGGTATTTACTGTTTTATTTTTTATGCAAACAAAATGGCAGCTGTATTTGTAGTTTTCAATATAAAACTTGTTAATGGTTTCAGTGTGTATCAGTAATCTTTTTCAGCACATTTTTACAATACCATGATAATACTAATAACCGTAATAATTTTGGTCACTATAATCGTGATATGAAATTTTCATACCGTTTCATCCCTAATCTCTACATCTAGGTCAATTTGCACAGTGGTTTTACATTTGTGAGGCTGTGCAGTGAGCGTGTGCACTGCTCGCACTAGGGAAGTGGAAACAAACAAGAAAAAATGGTCATGATCATTCCTGCAACTGTTAAAATTTCAAGAATAAAACAACAAGATGCACACTGCAGACTACACAGTTAAAGAGACTAATTATGGCTATTGCTCGCAACTTGACCCAGACCTTTGGCTCTGCGAGGTCACGAGAAATGAAATATAAACTACTTCTGAGTTGTCAATAGCACGCACAAAAAGCTCCTGGCTTTTGGGTTTGGCATATGCAATACACCTGAGAAGAGTCAAAGCTGAAGAAGGCCGTCTCTGGGAGTCCACATGATGTCAGATTGATCATAAAAAGAGGTTAAAGACACTTTCTGAAAAACAAAACTTCTGCAAATGAAATGTGCTCTTATACCAACTGCATGAATGAGGAAATTAATCGGCATGTCAGACAAGTGCTTCATCCTCCACGGAAGGGGAGGATTCTGAAAGAGTCGAGTGTTGTTGAAATAAACCTGCCAGCAAGCAGTTTAGGGTAACATTCCGTTACCATGGTAACTGGTAACGGAAAACCCAGAGTTATCCCCATCACTAAACCTGCTTTCTGAAGCAGGGCCCTGATGTATTTTTTCCTCTTCTGTCAGAATCCCATTGGTCGTATCAACCTGGCTAACTGCACCAGTAAGAAGGTGGAACCTGCCAACAGAGAGTTTTGTGCCAGACCCAACACATTTGAGCTCATCACAGTCAGACCACAAAGGGATGACGACAAAGAGACACTAGTCAGTCAGTGCAAGAATACCATGTGTGTCACCAAGTAAGTTCTTACAGTTTGCATATGAATAAATGTTCCACATGCATTTATAGATGAGTGACCCTGCATTTCTGAACACGGGTTGTTTTCTTGTGCAGAAATTGGCTAAGTGCAGACACTAAGGACGAGAGGAATCTGTGGATGAAGAAACTGAACCAGATTTTGGTGGATCTGCGAATGTGGCAGCCAGACGCCTGTTACAGGCCACTGTAATTACTGCACTCTGTCGCAACCAGCCCTTCTATCTTTTGGACTCTTAATATCAGTGACACATGCAAATACTAAGTGCAATACAGTATCAGAATTTTTAAATATTTTTTACTTGTGGATATTTTACAGGCGATAAGTAATCAAACAAAGTTAGAGATCAGAGGAAGGTAAATAAAGCCATACATTTGAAACATTTCAGTACAGTATTTTGTGTAGGAGTTTGAGTTTGGCACTATATTTTATACATTTCCAGACTGGTTTGATACTAATGTTTTTTGGTATTGTTGAGTTGCCACATTATGTTAATGCAAATATTTAGTTTGCTTGACAAGTGATGCATGGCTTTAAATTATTTGGTTTCAAAGCTGAAATCAATATATAAGCGGTGTTGAAATTACAGATGACTACTTATTTGAAGCACCACAGTTTTATTACAATTTATCCTGCATGATGGCACAGAACAATGCTGAAACTTTTGGTAAGTTTTTATTTTATATATTAGCTTTTATAACATGTGGCAGGCCTTTAACATGGTGGTTCTTCATTGCCGTGCACAGACCAGTTATAGCCCAGGTTTCATTCTATTTGTAATGTTTGTTCAATGTTTATGAGATTGTTTCAGTGTGGAAGTTGAGGTTTTGGATAACTGGGGGTAAAGTCTGTTACATATTATACTCTAGAGCCCGAACAACAGTAGTTTGAGGCCAATACAGATATTTATGTTTCTGAGTTAAAGAAAATCTGACAATTACATGTTGACCATTATTGGGTTGTTTAATATAAATGCATAACAAATAGGTGGCACGCTACTTTATGGCTTGGTAATACCATGGTGTATATAGTGGGTAATAATAAAGTAATAATTAATACCATGTAGTTATGGTATTAACATTGGGTGTATGTGGGTAATAGACTGAAATGTATGTAACAGGATATGGAGGGGGGAAAAAAGGGGGAATAGTGTCAGTTAAAGTTAACAATAAAATGGTTCTATCAGTGCAGTAATTCAAAATGCCAAACTACTTGTTTCTATTTCATTTCATGGTAAAGAGGCAGACTGATTAGAGGAAAACAGTTTCCGTCTAACCATAAATCAGGGCTGCTAAACGCTAAACCACCTGTTTCCAGCACGCACGCACTCACGCACACACTGGAGTGACATATTTGTTTTATGGCCTGTTTACTTCCTGTCAACTACACCTTCACCTCCAACCGTAGTGATCACTTTTTTTCATCAATTACTTCACTTTTCAGTTAGCTCTGTCCATATTAACAGTGTTTACCATTTGTTTGTGATCAATTTGATTATCTCCTCAGTGTTTTAGATAACCTTTTACCAATGTTGGCTAGTCACTGTGTAGCCTGTTTTCCCAGTTTAGCTAACTTTGGCTTGTAATGGCTTTTGCAAGATGATATACGTTACTGTAGAGTTGACAGGTAGTAAACAGATGGTAAAACAAATATACGTCACTCTGCATTGTGTAAGTAGAGAATATATATTAAAATGAAATGAAGTAGAAACAAGTATAGTTTTTGTTTTGTTTTGTTTTTTCACTAATAACAATTTTATTGTTAGCAGGTTACCAAAATGTTACTATAACTAAATATTTTGCCTTGTTAACTTTAAATGTGTATCCCCATAGCCCTTGTTTTTGACCCTGTCACATAAATTCTAGTCTATTACCCTAATATACCCTTTGTTAATACAAAGTTATTTTGTAATTACATGGGATTGCTTGATTATTACATTTTTATTATCACTCAATTACCCCAGTATTTCCATCTACTGAGCTGTAATGTAAAGTGTTACCCAGACATTTTTTATTTTAGGATCCTTTTTGAATATTAGTGTTGTGACCAATTGGAACATTTGCACTGTTTGTAAATGACCTTAAACACCATCTTTGGCTTTCTCTACTGCAATTTCCTATTTTACTGGGATATACACTGAATACAAATTTGTCATAAGATATTGTCCACCTTATTTATTACTCAGCCTTTACTCTAAAGAAAATGTCTCAACGGAAGTTATTTTGTTGGCTTTTTGCTTTATGTTGCAATGGTCACCAGAAGTTGTTCTTTTAGTGTAAAATTTTAATGGCTAAAAACACAGAACTTTGAAAATTAAATGTCAGGGTCATGTGTCCTGTACATTTAGTCTAAGTGTTGACTAAAAAAAAGACGTGGTGTTATTGCATGTTTTGCTTTTGTAAGGCACCCCTTGAGTTGCTCATGGAATGTATGCGTGTATGTATGTAACAGACTTTACAGTGACCCTGCAGGTGTTGTGTAAATGTTATTTCAGAATGACAGATTTTCACTTGTGTTCAAGTAAAACACGCTTTTTCATCATGTTGATAAAGAATACAGACTAAACAACTGCATTGTTTCTGCATACCTTCTACATAAATTTTCATCATGAGCAATATGAGTGAGCAGACAATATGTTCATGGTTTCAACTGATACACTCCGACTTCAATTCTTCAGTTTGCCAGATATTTGTGGATCAATGAGACTTCAATAAATACCTGCTTTGACCAAAATGCACCAGGTTACTAATACTTAAGTTCTTTTGTCTTCATATCAAAATGTAAGTTTTTGGAACTTTTGTGAGTTTCTTTAAACTGACTTTTCCCAGTTTCTTTTAAGAGTCTTGAATGCAAGTCCAGAAAAGTGTCCCTATATCGAGCTTTCATTGAACCAAAGATTTGTCACAGGCTGGCTCAGCAACAATATTTGCATCAACTACTTATAACAAAAATATGGTGTCCACTTTAGCTCTAGAGACATTTCACTTTTGAAACTTGCGGCAATGGATGGTCAGCCATTTACCAACATGACAATGTCAGCATGAACACAAAGCACAAAGACAGCATGGAGCCTTGCTGTTCCAAAGTATCCACAATTGGCAGATAACATCTGTTAGCTCATGCAAATTTTACTAAGGCTTTCACATTAACACTAAATTTTGTTAAATGGTGGGATCTGAACCCACCCTCCTGAGATACTGGAGCCCTAATGCTGTGCCTTAGACCGCTCGGCCACACTACCTGCAAATGTGCTCTCTGTAATGCATTACCTGTTATTTCAGTCCAGGTCATTAAATGTAATCTATGAAATTCACACTGTTGAGCCAAACTGGCCAGAAATATGTGCCAATAACAAATCTCACTTTGATCTCAATGTGTCTGTAAAACTGAAAAGGTGGATGCATTATTTGGCAGAACAGAATTTGAATACAGCAAGATTTTCATTTTGTAAATCTGGTCCTATTTAGAGTAAAATACACAAAAAAGCAGGGTAGGCCTCAGGGCGTGGCTACCTTGTGATTGACAAGAAGCTAGGCATAGCGATGTGTATCACTGCCCTGCTCCTCCCTCTCATCCAAATATGGTCACTTCTGGTCCCAAAAAAGTCAAGATGGCGATGGCCAAAATACCAAACTCAAGGCTTCAAAACTTTTTCTTTATACATCAATTTCCAAAATGGTAGTCCACAAACCAGTGGGTGATGTCACGATGGCTACATCCACTTCTTTTATATAGTGTATGCATCCCCCTGTTAGTTCAGCCAAGATGAGTGTTACACAAACGCATCCTCCAAGACTGACAGAGGTTAGTTTGATGACAGGGGCTGAGTCAGCTAATATGACTGCTAGCTGCACGGCTAATTAGCTTACGACAGATACAGTTAGCGGTTTGGAAAAAATCCCTTCTCGCCCAGTTTTTGTGCGGTGCCCCCTCTGGCACCGCTCCCTGTCAGCGTTCCCGCCTGGACCCCTCGTCTGGGCCTGAAAACCACCTGGTGGTCCAAAGCTCCTGTGCTAGAATAGAGGTATAAACACAACACTGGTGCTCAGAGCGCCCAGTCCAAGCAGAGTCCGTTAATATGACCGCTAGCTGCACAGCACATGGAACTAACTAGATGACTGCAGCTAGTTAGCAGCAGCTAGTTGTTACTTTGGCAACAATTAAGCTATCTGTCCATCAGGAAACTCCGTAAATCATTGAGAGCTGAAGCGGAGCAGCTTGAGGACGACAGAGGGAAAAACAGAATAAAATATGATCCAGTTTCACCCAAATCAGTGATAAGTTGTGTTTGTACAGTAATCAGTGAGGTCCCACCTGGATCCTGCCAGCCCCAGGAAACATTCTCTGGTGGTGTGTTTAATTGAACTTTATGAATGAGTAACATATAAAGTTACTTAAGATACAGGTTTCTCTGGTACGTAAGTTTCTCTTAAAAACAGATCTGAATGCCTGAATGAGACCATGTACCTGTTGAAACAACATGAGTTGGACGAGATAGTATAGTAGACGAGAAGTATTAACATTATCATGAAATTAAATTCTTTCTACTTTTTTGTTAGTAGTTTACATAGACAATTTATGTAAAGATCCTGTTCAACATAACCTTATTCCTATACTTAATAAAGCTGAGTTTCCTGAAACATACTGTAGTATTCATATGGAACTCAACCAGGATGTAGTCTACAATTAAAAACTAAAGAAAGCCTGAAGATAGATGGACACCTGTTCTATCCAGGTCCAAGGATATTCTGGTTGTCTGTGGACAGCTGGTTGAGGACGAGACAACCTCAGCTAACAAGGTAAGGTTGCTGAGCACAGTTTACAGTCAAAGGTCATAAACCGTGGCAAGAATGAGCACAGCAACAAGAAGAAAAGAAAGGCAATGCTGCGGACCGTAGACGCAGTGGTCAGCCAAAGAAACTCACTGCAGCGGATTAAATGAATGCATCATGCTTACTTCCCTTCACAATCGGAAGATGTCTAGCAGTGCCATCAGCTCAGAACTGGCTTACAGTGGTACCATAGTATATGTCTGGAGAAGTCTGGTCAGAAGTGGCCTTCATGAAAGACTTGTGGCCAAAAAAACCTCCGACATGAAAACAAGGCCAAGCGACTCAACTATGCATAGGAACACCGGATGCTTACGTTTATTTCAGCTCTTAGTGTTTTTATGTGGGAATGTGGATCTTTCAGATCAATTTGAGAAGTACCTATAATCTCGTTCCACATTTTATTGTGTCATGTCATGTGGGGAAGTGGTCTTGGTCTTGACTTGGTCTTAGCCCCTAAAAGTCTTGGTCTTGTCTCGGTCTCGATAAACTCTGATCTTGGCTCGGTCTCGGTTTGGGCGGTCTTTACTACAACACTAATAGATAGTACTATATATACTATAGTACTATAGGTCCATCACTTATGTTGGCTAAAATATCACGCTATAACAAAGCCGGTAACAAAGACAATAATGCAATAATGTGTGTGTCGTGGCATGCACAATGCTGAAGCCAAAAAGGAAGAGAAAACACTCTTGGATGTGTGAGCTGGGTGAGCAACTTTCATTAGAATGAATAAGCACCATCTTGAAACATAATCAGTTATCAAAATATATCCACGGTCTTGACCCTTTCACATTTAATGACTGGGAAGTGACCATGCCCTGACACCACAATATTAAGGAACAAGTGAGAACAAGCATTGTAACAAGCATACAGGGCTTGCTTCACCTAGATACCATTTCCTCAGGTGACGCAACCTTGCATGGTGAGGCTGCAGCATAAAGTTGGGACAGAGAAAAGCTAAGGCCTCCGGACAAAACTTTCAAAATAAAACTCCTACAGTAAATGTGTAAAAATAAATAATTCAAGGAGGAATTTGTAGAAAACAAAAATAAAACGGCCGTTCAGTCATTTTAAAGCATCGCTGATATTTTCGGCTGAAATAGTAATCTCCTGACACATGGATCTCAGTGGCACATGGTCAGGCTATTGCCTTTGCATTATGTGATGCCACCGTAGACTCTGTATAAAGAGAAACTGACACTTCTGTAGGTGATGCAACACTACTTACTGTTGCTGCACCATCAACTGATAACATTAAAAGAACTATCTGTGATTAAAGCCTTCAAAATAAAATGTTTGATTCCCATCCTCCACAGTCCACCATAAATAATCACAAGGCTTTTAGTGCGCTCTTATTTTGAAGACACTGTCACTACTTCCGGTTGAAAGTTAATCTTCTGGCGCGGCGGCTGCTGTCACTGCTGTATCATTACTGAACCAAACGAAACCACTCTGTCAGTCATCACCACTACGGGAATCATTTGAAGAACGAGGTACGTGGTAATGTGGGGCTGCACTTGACACTGACATTGCTAACGTTAACCACCGCGCGGGAACGCGAGCCGGAAGAAGACTGTGGGAATAAAGGAGCCAATAATCAGAAATAAGTGCCGCCTGGTTAAAAAGTAACGTTACCACGATGGATGAGAGCTCCGTGACAATGTTACCCCTTTTGCCCATAGATAGCAGATTTTTAATTGGTAGGATTGTGAATGGAGATTAGCGTTTGGTGCTGCTGACACAGGACAACGGACCATAAAGTAACGTTAGCTAGATGAAAAGTGCGGGTTAACAGGTCTTGTTAGCCAACATGTGGTCAGTTACAGTTACATTTGCATTTGGCGGGGAGGGGGGGGGCATGATGCTGATTGAGGAAACATTTTTTGAAATTGGTCCAGTATCGATTGAGAATGCTGCAGTGGGCAGCAGTGAAACAGTGCTGCGAGTATTTGCGCCCCGTGCAGTCCTGTTGGCTGCTGCTGACTCCCCCTCCCACCGAACACACACCTTCCCACAGCAGGAGGACAGATGGGTGGTTTAACTCTTTTTACTGACTTGAGTTTGTATGAGTCACTCATTCATTCATTCATTTTCAAGACCTCAAGTCCCCCCCCCCGGGTCCCAGCGTGCATAGAGTATGCATGCATGCATACTGCTCTGATTGGTTAGTACTTGCTGCCTGTGTTGTTTAAGGTCAGGGGTAGGTTTGGGTAGGGTTAGGGTTAGCCAATCAGAGGCAGAGTAGGGAGCAGCAATTGACACAAAGATGGTGTCCGTCTAGTGACTATTGCCGAAAATCTGGTGGGGAAAAACGAATGCAGCGTGCGCACCAGAAACTCCCGCCGGCTGAGACGGCTAACTTCTGTTTTAGCCCTGCTCTAACTTGAATGGGATTAAAATAATTTAATTATGCAGTTTTACAGCCTCTAATGTTCCCATAATTGTGTGCACGGCGTCAGTTCCAGAGAGCTCAGAACAGCATGCATAGCAACACAGTCTGCTAATCAGAAGTTACAGACAGCTGGATTTCATGATATCAGAAGCAAGTAGTAGTGAACTACTAACTAGGGAGACTTTTTTTTAAATTGACAAACATCATGTGTTAGTCAGGGCACAATTCAAACAGGGTCAAAACATTAACTGCCATACATAAAATATGTAAATAAATAAGAAACCAATGGTGGCTCAGGGACTTAGGTGTGCACAGGCAGTGACTGGCACTCTGTTAGACACTCCTCCTGGCTCTAACTGGTTGTTTGCGTTCAGGCGCAGTAGATTCTTGCAAATTGCACTAAAAGCACCAGGGAGAGCCAGAGGAACCTGTTTTCCGGCACATTATCTGTCTCGTGTAGTACTGTCAGGAGATTGTGACTTTGTGAAGGCTAAGTAAGGCTAAGTCTCTAGAGTTTGGTTGACGGCAGATTTAAGGACTATCAGAATTTTTTCACAAGCATTTCTCTGAATTCTAAAACTTTCAAACAGATCAAATGTTAGAAACAAACAGCTGTTGGTACTGGACTCCAGTAGTTTTTATGCAACAGTCATTTTACATTTCAGATCCTTAGTATTTAATTCTATAATCATAAAATACATCCTAATCAACTCTGTATGTCTGTCTCTCTTTTTCTAGCCATCTTCCGCAGCTGTGAAATGTGTGGTATCTGGGCTTTGTTTGGCAGTGATGAGTGCCTGTCAGCTCAGTGCACCAGTGCCATGAAGATCGCTCACAGGGGCCCTGATGCCTTTCGCTTTGAGAATGTTAACGGCTTCACCAATTGCTGTTTTGGCTTCCACCGGTTGGCTATCGTGGACCAGCTGTATGGCATGCAGCCCTTACGCGTCAAGAAGTTTCCCTTCTTGTGGCTCTGCTACAACGGAGAGATTTACAACCATCACACGGTAAGGATGTGCTGGACTGTGACTGTGAAACAGCTGAACAGGTGTTGTATTGTGGAACACTTCATCCTGACCGAAACAGAATCTTTGAGGCAGATGCTGATATTGTAATTTCAGAGTTTATTGATATATTTGCGGATATTTCACATAAACACATACAGCATGTTTGCTAAGCATCTTTTAAATTTAGACCACTGATTGTGAGTTGGGACTGAGATATACTGAGCAGGACATTTTACAGTATATAAATAAACTTGCCACTCCTCTCTGAGGAACAAACTATGTAACAGAGACCCTGTTACTTATTACCTTACGTTTACACAGACACTGATGGTAAGTGCTCTGGGAGAAACGTGTTAACATTCAGAAAAGACGATGTTGACTGTCTCTTTTAGAGCAAAAGTTTAACTCTGACAACTGGTCAGTGCAGCTGTCCTGAAAAGGCTGAATTGTCTCCGTCTTCCAGGAGATGAGGGTCGTCCGAGTGACATACAATTCTGTTGTGAAAGCAAGTTTCTTTCAACTTAGGATTCTTACTAAGCTTAAGCCCTTTTTTATCCTTCACAGATTTTGAGAGGATCATACATGCATTTATCACAACACGCCTTGATTATTGTAATGCTCTGTATATAGGTGTTAGCCAGGCCTCCCTCTCTCGACTACAGCTGGTTCAAAATGCTGCTGCTCGTCTCCTTACTGGAACTCGCAAGCGAGATCACATCTCCCCTGTTCTTGCCTCTCTTCACTGGCTCCCTGTTAATTTAAGGATTGATTTTAAGATTCTATTGTTTGTTTTTAAAGTCCTCCTTGGACTAGCTCCAGCCTGTGTCACTGATCTGTTGAAGCCACATGCTCCTTCAAGGTCATTAAGGTCTGCGAACCAGTCTCTTCTTGTTGTCCCTAAAACACGGCTCAAGAGCAGAGGGCTTTCTCAGTCGCAGCCCCGAGACTGGAATGAATTGCCTCATGTCAGACTGGCCCCCAGCTTTCTGGTTTTTAAATCGCGACTTAAAACACATTTTTATTCCCTGGCTTTTAATCCGGCATGAGAGCTGTATGTTTTGTATTTTGTATGTATGTATTTTTGTATTTTTGTTTTGTTCATTTATTAGTTTCATGTCAACGTACAGCACTTTCACAATAATTCACTACAACATGAATTAGGTTAAATTAACTTTGGTTCAGACTGAACTATCTTAACAAATACTGGATGGACTGCCTTGAAATTGGTACCAATATTCATGTTTCCCTCAGAATGAACTGTGATAACTTGACCGTCACCTAGCGCCATCAACAGCTCAGAATTAAAATTTGTCGAATACTTCAGTTTATGACCCAATACCCTCAAAACTAATGACAGTGTTCAGTGCTAACTTGCAAATGTTAGCATGCTAACACGCTAAACTAAGATGGTGAAGACGGTAAACATTAAGTGCAATTACTACTTATGCGTCAAATTGACGGCGTAGGTACGTAGGTAGCCTACGCCGAGGCTACGCCGTCGCCTGACGTGCACCTCCTCAAAAATGTAACTACACGTCGAGTCGACGCGGACCGTAAGCTCTGTGATTGGTCGGCTGGGTAGCCTCGCAATGCCTCCGAGCCGACCGGAAGTACCCCACGCTTTGAAGTAACTTTTACCAGCGGCCAAAACGGCGTCTGTAACACAGTCAATCAATATATTTGACCGTCAAAACCCGAGCAAAATGACTCGTTTCGCTATCAGAATGTGATCCATTTGGTTGGTAACATTTGAAAAGGCTACACTACTACACTAGCCGCACATTTACAATTTTACCCCCATTTTCGTTAGCGGAACGCTAAACCGGCAGTTAGCCTGCTCGGCAGGCAAAAGTCAGCACAGTGGGAGCTGTAGCGCTACTGCTGACTAGCGTTTGGGGGTTTAATTGCAGAATGACGGACACTTGGACGCACAAGTGCGTAGCCTACGGCGTAGGTACGCACGTAGATCCTACGCAGGAGTATAAATGGGCCTTTAGGCTGCACCTGCTAAACATCAGCATGTTAACGTTGTCCTTGTGTTAGCATCCTGACAGCCTCATAGAGCTGATAGCATGGCTGTAGACTCTGAGTTATGTTAATATCATCCCCTTCGTTGCTTATTTCATTCAACTGTAATTCAGTCACATTGTTTCATCAAATCATTTCAGCTTTTCACAAAATTCTGAAAAAGTGAAATGACAGAACGAATGAAAGAAGTGTAAGATCAGCACTATGGTATGGAGAGAACCAAATGTTACTCAAATAATGTCAATTTTGTTTAATCCAGCGAAACCAGGAAACCTAAAATAACCCTGTCTGCTTTTCTCCAATTTTGTTCCAGCTGAGGAAGCAGTTTGGGTTCGATTACCAGACTAAAGTGGATGGTGAGATTTTGCTGCATCTGTACGCCCACGTTGGGATCCAGAAGATGGCTTCTCTCCTGGATGGTGTGTTTGCTTTTGTTCTGCTGGACACTTCCAACAGAAAAGTCTTTCTGGGAAGAGATACGTATGGTGTCCGGCCTTTGTTCAAACTCCTCACAGACGATGGATTCCTCGCAGTCTGCTCAGAAGCCAAAGGTTATGGGATAGTTTGTTACCCCTCCTTGAATCTGGGTCTTTTATACTCTTGTAAGAGATGTTACAGCTCTGTAACTTGTTGTTATTCTGATCACAGGCCTTAAAGACATTACCCATGGCACCCCTGCCAACATCGTCCCCTTTCCCCCTGGGCACGTTGAACTCTTTGATTTGAAGCAGAACGGCAAAGTTCGGTTCATTCAAATGGACCAATTTCACTGCTGCACAAAAGAGCCTGCTCATGCCATCTACGACACCGTGGAGAGACTGCCTACAAGTATGAAACTGTTCACTGGTCTTAATTTAGCCATTTTGTATCACATTTCTTAAAACTGATGTCTCCCCAGGTTTTGATGAGGAAACAGTAAAAATCAACATCAGGACCCTGTTTGAGAATGCCGTAAGGAAACGTCTCATGGCTCAAAGGAGAATTGGCTGCCTTCTGTCAGGTAATTTAAAATCCTGCCATTTACTGTGGCTGCTTGTTACACAACAGTGACGGCAAAGAAAGACATACACAGCTTCTATTTTATTTGAACATTAGCCTTCATAAACAACTACAATACCACAGTATCGCCTTTGGTGGCAAAAAGGGTTCTTCTATAAAGTCAATTAATCAAATCAGCACACTCTTTTAGTGTGGTTTTCTCACATTCCAAAATATTCTACCCTAAGGTTACCCTTCGTGTGTGATCACACCAAACACAGCTTCTGCGTGAACTAGTGAACATGCCTGATTGGTCCCAACTTGTGCCTTACATTACATGTCATCACTGCTCCTCAAGACGGTGTGACAAAGTGCCTTGTCACACTGGAAGTATATTATCAGTATTTTAAGCTATTAACTTATACTAAGTTCTGATTAAGGACCTCCAATATTTGGATCAAGTACCTAATGAAAAATAAGGTGTTCCGTCCACATTTCATATCTTCTTCTACTCATCTCATTTTCAGATGAGTAGATACATTTTCAAATACCAGTTGTTGATATTGGGTACACTACCAATACAAACTGTTAAAACTTAAAGAATTTCAAAGAATTTGGATTTGATAAGTGGATTTGATACTGGACTTGGATATGAAGTGACTATTCGCATAGCTGGCGAACTAATGTAGCTGAGAAGCTAAGCAGCAACATGATAGCCAGCAGGTAGCATGCTAGCACTATCCAGCCACAATAGCGCACCAGCTGCTGGCTTTGTAAATGGCACGTAAATATGTTGACCAGACGCCCCCGGCTTTGGTGGCCTGTCCCCATCTGGAGCTGTCCCAGGGAATGTCCCTGAAATCAGATTTTACCTGGCCAGAAAGACTGAAAACCGATTAACCGGGCGTGACATTTGCGTGATTACAGGAAATAATAGAAGTCTGCTGTTGCCGATGGATTGTGTTTGGTAGGCCCATGTCTAATATCCTTGTTTATATTTGGAAACTGTGGCCTATAATTAACACGACTTACTGCTGAGTTATATATAAAATAAAGACATGATCTCTTTTGCAGTTATCATTGACTCTATATTATTTAACTTGCTATGTACCAACCAATCCAGTCCTTTTAACCTGTTCAAATACCTTTAAATGGCCAATACCACCTATAACACGCAGTATTCCACTTGCCAGAAAGTGATTGCAGCTTGACCGAACGGCATATTCTGACTCAAAATGATTTGATTCCATTCAAAAGTTATATTTGACCGATTATAACTCAAATAGTCCTTTTTACCTCTTAAAATACCTTTCAATAGACAAAACAACACATGAAATACAATATTGTACTTGACAGAAAGCTGAAATTTTGATTGCAGCTGAAAGGTAGTTTCTGCTTCAAAAGGACTTGATTTCATTCAGAAGAGTTATATTTGACATATTATAAAACCAAAATTGTCCCTCCTTTTTATTTCATATATAATATGATTATATTTTTTAAATGTCATACTGACCACCAAACCAAAAATGTCCCTGGTTTTCATTTCAGAAGTCTGGTCAAATTATGTAGCAAGCTAGTTAACTAATTGTAGCTGGTGAGCAAACTGCCAACATGCTAGTGTGGTTTGTGTCAATGATCCTCATTCAGGTGGTCTGGACTCCAGTTTGGTTGCTGCTACACTGGTGAAGCTGGCTAAGGAGGAGAAGCTGAAGTATCCCATCCAGACATTTGCAATCGGGTCAGAGGACAGTCCAGATATCATCGCTGCTCGCAAGGTCAGTTCTTCTGATAGAAGACATTCAGATAATGTTTCCCCTGGAAGCATTGTTAGTTCATTCCAGCATTTAGTTAATTAGCCAAACAATTTCTGACTGCTTTTTTGTAGAATCTAAGAAGTGTTTGTGGTCGGTTCTGGGGAAAAAAACATGGTCTTTAGTCAGTTGGTTTGTGTTTGTCAGGTTGCAGCTCACATTGGCAGTGAACACCACGAGGTGAACTTCACTGCAGAAGAAGGCATCCAAGCTTTAGAGAATGTCGTCTTTCACCTGGAGACCTATGACATCACCACCATACGTGCCTCTGTTGGTGAGTGTGGGGTAAAGCATGCCAGGAAAACTAGAAAATGACAAAAAGAAGTGGTATTTACAGACAAAGGTTGTGATATTAGCTTCCATACCTCAGTTAGGCCAGCTGAATAGCACTTGAATAAACTAGGATCAGAATGGATCAGAACATGCTTCCAGTTATAGAAAGTTGAGAGAGAAATGGGAAGAAAAGAGAAATTATCTGATACTTATACACCTGAGTCTGTTCTGCAAATTAAATTCTGTTAAGAAAAGAAAACACAAACGGATGGAAAATAAGGAGCCTTATTTGTTGACTAGTGTTTCATGGGAAATGATTTCACTTTTACATAATTGAATAATTTAAATTTAGAATTTATAATAAGCTAATTTTAATTTGTTTTAGAAATGTGCTGGATATATACAATCTGCTTAGTTGTAATGCTTTCTTTTCAGGATAATTATAGGTACCTTTTTTTTTTTGTAAGTACCGAATAATTTGACTAATAATCATTTCCTTGAAGTTTCTTGGAAATAACTGTCATTTGGTACTGACTAAACTACTAGAGGGGAAATAGAGACAGTTTTCATTACCCTTTCAGTTAATTAATTCCACTTATTTGCTGGCATAATCTAGAGAGCCTTTTTCTCGGTGAACAGCAGCTCAAATTAATTAACTGTCTACAGTCAAGCACACAATTAAATGTACATGATGAAAAATATTTCCAATAATAAATTGCTAATGAATTAATATTTACATAGAGCTTTTCTTTCAAGAAATATGTTCATATTTTCCCTATGATTAGTACTATGATTAATACATCATTCTTTCCAGGAAACCTATAAAAAAAGCATTACTAAATTTCAGACCAATAAAATAAAGGTTAATGAATTATAATTGGTTGCAATGAAATTCAAGTTAAATATATTTTTGACCATGCAAAAATTACTTGAAATTAATTACTATTTAAATATTTTGATTTAGTATTTTAGTTTTATTAATAAAATCCTTTATAAATAGAAGTTCAGTATTTTAACATTTCAATGTCCTACAAATGACAAACAAAATATTAGAAATATATATAATAAATATGTAATAGAGTTATTGCAGGGCTGTTGTATCATTATAGTTTATTATAGCTGTGATTTGTATTCAGGCTGAGTTTCTGTATTTAAAAATATTTTTCTTGACAACTGGTCCAAAATACAGTATACTACTAATGTTTTCTTAAATAATAAAGTCCCTTTTCTGTCGATCTCTGAAGTACCTCACATTTGTGCTGATGTGCTCAGTGATGTGACAAACATTTGTCTGAGTATGCTGCATCACTGCATTCCTTTGCCGCTTGTTTGAATCACAGTGGAATCCAGTGAGATTAGTTAACCGGTCAGAGAGGTCAGTGGGGGCAACATGTGCGGGGTCCAACGTTAAACTATTTTGCAACTGGCCCCACTGGACCACGGGGTTTGTAACTTACTGGCCCAAAGACAATTTTTACTGGCCCTCCTTCCTAAAGTGTTTAATCGTTTATTAAATACATCCTGGATATAAAAAAAACCTAAACAAAAATATAATCACAGTTAAAGTTATAAAAAATAAAAAGGTTAACAAAACAATTTACTTTTAAAACAAAACATACTAACAGACTCAGATATGACATGCTCTCCTGCTGACAGCCAAATGTACACAGAGCAGCGGACACGAGTCGCCTCTATGCTGGTGAACAGGTTACCATGGCGACCTGTCAATCACAAGGTAGTCCTGTCCAAAAGCATATGCTGCATTATTGTCTAAATAGGACCATAATATACTAAATGTGTTGAAGAAGACTTGAAACTAGCGACTGAGACTAAACTCATTTAAAAGTGTTTACTGAGGTAATAAATCAGCTGAGAAGTAGCAACATTTGCTGCTGTAAGTTCCATCTGCATGGTTTCACTTTCAGACCCAGAGGTTGCCGCGTGATTGAGATTAGAGAAATAACATTTGACAACCTCTCAATGAAACATCCAATAACACTACTCACACACTGCTCTTGCATCCATCAAAACTAGACCATGTACATATTATGAAATCGCAACACTATGCACAGTAAAAAGTATTAAATGTGAATTCGTTTTGCAGTTATGTTATTCATATTTTTATTGTAATGAATCTGTTGCTGTCATTATTTTATTGACCGATGTGACCATATGTTTCTTGATGTGGTCATTTGTTACTTTAAGATTTAAGTTGGTAGCGCTCAGTGCCTTTATCTGTTGCTGAATTTTGGTACAGACAATGCTCCATACGAAAAGAACATCTGTTAGTGATGTATAGACCTTATCACAAGTTTGAGCCCAAATTGCATGCTTCTATGAGAATCAAGACTGTTTAAAGTGTCTTTAGAACTGGAGCCATCTTTTCAAACTAATAGTACTTTTGGGACTTTGCATTGTGGTGTGTCGCCTTCATTATTGAATTATAGAAATTCATATTCTGATTTGACAGTTTCATGTGCCGTCTCTTTGTAATCAAACGCTTCTTCTGTTCCTTCCACCGTAGGTATGTATTTGATTTCAAAGTACATCAGGGAGAAGTCAGACAGTGTGGTGATCTTCTCTGGAGAGGGTTCTGATGAGCTGTCTCAGGGATACATTTACTTCCACAAGGCAAGAGACCAGTTACTGTTACTGAATCAGTGCATTTCTTTTTCTCTTGCAAGGCAAATAGTTTGCATGGCAACATCCTGTGTTAATATTTAGTAAAAAAACAAAGCTATTCCTGCATAGGTAGGTGGCATATGATCGAGGAGCCACCTTCCATAAGAGTTTGAAAGTGTGGAAGATGTTGTTTAATCCCACAGAGTCAGTTACATTCAGACACATAACCCATGTTGTAAGATGGAGTTGAATTGTTGAGGGGTTCCACAAAGAAACGGTACAGTAAATGTGTGGGAACCACCATTCAGTAGAGGAGTAGCCACAGAAAAAACAAAGAAAAAGAGCTGGAAGTAAATAACAATATGTGGAACCACATGACCAACCAAACTCCCTGAAGGGGGAATGCTCAAGGAGTGCTTAACAGCAGTCACATACTGTACCTGCAGCTTGTCTTTGCTGACCTCCACTGGCTGACGTTCTCATCTTGCTGCAGTGATATAGAAGTGTACTTTTGTTTTACTACAATTTAGCCTTTATTTGACAGCTTACATTGCTGAGCAACAGGCAGACGGAGAGCAGGATGACATGCAGCACATGGTCTATGGTGAATTTATTCTTGGGGCGGAGCTGTTACATGTACGCTCCTTGACTGCTGCTTTTCTTTTTAATACAAGACCATATCATGATGGCCTAAGCAAGTCGCTGTTTGAACTTGCAGAAAAAATGTTTAGCTCTTTTCAGACATGGAATATGTCACATTGCTGACTTTTATGTTAATGATCCTAATGGCTTTATTTAGACATGGCTGGAAGTTTATACATAGAGATGGAGAGAACATGCACTGACAGACAGGATGTGAGTGTTTCCTGGTTTATTAAACAGATTTGTGCAGAGATCTTAGAGCATGGAACTGTGTATGCAGTTTATCTCCCTCAGCATGTTTTATTGTGCTGCTGCTGAATCTGATGGTTGAATTGCCATCAGATTCATAGAAAGCAGCGCTCGTTTGAAATTGCAATAATAGTGTAGCTGCTAACAAAGTTGTGTTCCTCCTCCAGGCTCCCACTGCGACAGCAGCTGCAGAGGACAGTGTTCGACTGATGAAGGAACTCTACCTGTTTGATGTTCTCCGGGCTGATCGCACCACTGCTGCACATGGGTAGTACACCTTTCAATTCATTATCCACTATTGACATCACTGAAGGTACTAAGTACATTTATTTTCATTGTGCAGCACAGGGCTGCACAATGAAATGAAAGTTGTAGCTCATTTTACACTACCCACACATCACGTGTATACAAATATTTCAAACTAGAATGGGCATTTACTAAAGTAAATGCGTGTGAGAGCGGTCAGCTGTGACTGCTTCATCAGCAGAACATGTCATTCCCTGGATTCGAACCACTGATCTTGGGGTTGGCAGGGCAAGCACTTAACCAATGCCCTGCTCAGACACACTGGTTGAAGGCTGATTTTTTATTTTCTGTATTTGCTCTGGTTTTCATGGACATGAAATGCCTCTAAAGCACCAACAGAGGGCGCTCAATGACCAGACATTCTTGGCACACCACTGTTTAGCATATATATAAAATATTATTTGAGGTCCAGTCCACTGTTGTTGAATAAAATATATAGAGCTATCACATATTTTAAGCACTGATATCCAGGTAAACATTGATTGCATTTAGAAAGACTAAGATACAAATTTAAAAACACCACAGCAAGTCAGTGGGAACTGAATGCATGTTATGCTTCAAAGCACCAATAGAGGGCAATCTATGACCACAAATGCGTGGCACAACACTGTTTTGATTGTGCTTATATTTTCTGTGACGTGTAGTCCAGTGTTGCAAAATAACATGAAGACACAGAAAGCGACTAATCTTATGAAAAACTTCTTCCATGTATACAAATACTGCATTTAGAAAGACTAACAACATACACATTTAAAACTGACCACTGCAATGCTGCTGGAGGTGGGATCCGAACCTGGGTCTGACTGAAAAGAGATGTTTGGGAAACCAGTGCTCTAATCAAGCGAGGGACACATCTGACGAAGCCACAATCTGATCATTTGTCGATGGTAAAGTGCATTTGCTTAAAAAAAAGCTTTTCAGCTACCATTTTGGGTTAGAAGACATCTTTAATTTTAGAGCTACAGCTTTCGCACTAATTAGAATATAAAACAAACTGCCTAACAGATCTATATACAAAGTTTTCATCTATTTATTTATGGTGGAGTGTGGAGGATGAGGTGGGGCTGAGAAGTCTCGCAGCCTGGGGGCAGAAGGTGCTCTGTAGTCTGGTACGACAGCTGATACAGCAGCAGGGTGAACAGGCTGTGGCTGTGTGGACGCTGTCTTTTAGAATCCTTTGGGCTCTGCACAGGCACCTCACCTCACTAATATCATCTGCTGCAGAGCCCTCCTGTTGATGTCCAGCAACATGAAACTGTTCACCTGCTACACCTCAGCCCTACTGATGTAGACAGGAGTGTGTGTCTTTGTCTCCTTTTTCCTGAAATCAACGATCAGCTTGTTTCTTTGGGGACGTTGAGCAGTAGGTTGTTCTCTGTGCGCCACTCTGCAAGAGTGTTGATTTCCAGCTTGTTAAACTTCATAAACAAAATTATACTGCACTGTGAGGAAAATGTTGTCTACCTTCTGTGCAAATTTTAACAGCTGGAAGAGCAATTAGTTAGCATCTTGGCCTGGTTAAACAACTTAAACGATTATCAAAATTGTTGCCCATTAATTTTCTGTTTATTGACTAATTGATCTACAAATGTTTTCAGCTCTATTAAATTGTAGATTACCTTCTGTCTTTGAAAGCTGGCAGCAACTTTGGAACGTCTCTGTCACTCACTCCATTAAAATTTAATTAAATTTCCAGTTGTTTCAATTAAAATATCATCTGTCCTGCCTTCGTGCCTCAAAAATAGAGGATGCTCCATCAGTGCACTTAGTTTGTTTTTTTTAAACTTTTACTTAGCAAGCCAGTTGATTAATTGGGCAGAAAAACATTCACATAATGTTACTTTTCAGTGGCTTTGATGGAAAAACCTGAAAGGTTTTAAGATCTCATCTCATCTGTAAAGTGGTTAACTGGCATCAACGCATCAATATTTATCAATATAAACTGAATATTTTGTTCAGTTTTGTGAGAAAGACTTTATTTTGTACCCATTAGTCCTATAACCAATCCCGTCTCTTCATCTGATCTCATGATGAATTATATGCTGTCATTTTATGTGTTTCAACTCATATGATGATCCTTTTTATCTCCCAGTCTGGAGCTCAGAGTGCCTTTCCTGGACCACAGGTTCACAGCATACTACCTTTCTCTGCCTGAGGAGATGAGGACGCCTAAGGTCAGTTGATCCTTCTAGCTGTTGTCCAAACACTCAAACCAGGGTTTATTTCACTGCCAAAAGCAGGAAGTGATATTTGGAGTGTTCTCGCATTGCTTTGTAAGAATAGTGTCATATGTCTTCTTGTGTAAGCAGCATGGAGTGGAGAAGCATCTTCTGAGGGACTCCTTCAAAGGTCTCAACTTGATCCCTGATGAGATCCTGTGGAGGCGCAAAGAAGCCTTCAGTGACGGTGTGATGTCTGCCAAGAAGTCCTGGTACACCTGCCTGCAGGAGCACATAGAGTCTGTGGTATGTGTTACTGTAGGACCAAGACCTGGAAGACAATAGTTATCAGTTTTACTGTCTTCATGCCAAAAAAACACACTTTTTAATGATGCATCCTCCTCTGAAGTCGCGATTAGTTGACAGTAGCAAATGATAGGACAATTAAGAAATGTACTCGCCAAAAGAAGCCAGCCGTTTAACCAAAGTTATTTGGAAAGAAAATGAAGGCAAATTAGTATTTACAAACGTTCTGCACAGCGTAGTGGTGTGTATTTTTGTTGCAGTGCAGATCTATTTGGCGATGCGGTCACCTGTGCGGACTCAAACTACTGATGTTTGGGGTGAACTCACTTTAGTTTTACCTCCAAATAAAGTGGTTTAGATAATCTGGCTCAGCTGTTGGATTGTTTCTAACCTCTTTGGTGAAATACAGTATGATCATTACAGTCGGGAATGATGGCCAAAACTATAGAAGAAAAGTTTTAAGAAATACACAGTGATCCTTAAATAATCTTTTCAAACTGGTCTTTTTCTGTTCATTAAAAGGTTCTTGCTGTTTTATTGTAAATACTGCAATGGCTCTAGAAGTGGAATATACAGTCTTTTTTTCATACAACCATCAGAAATTTCCGAGCTTTAGACATTAGAGCTTAGAAGTAGTACAGTAGAATCCAGAAGTGTGGGTGCGGAAAGAAAATGAAACCAACTGAAATGTATGATAAAACCAAGTGAGAGTTAACAAAAAAAAGTGCAATCAATACAAGGTAATTGCAGGGGATAGAGGAAGAAGAGCACAGGAAGTGCATGTTAGAGGTTAGGAGTTAGAGGTGTTATAAGAGGAAGTGTTCTCAGAAGAGATGAGTTTTCAAGAGCTTCTTGAAGTTAGAGAGGGACGCCCCTGCTCTGATGGCATGTGGTAGCTTGTTCCTCCATCGTGGTGTCACAGATGAGAACAGGGACTGGGATTGCTTTGTGTGAAGGGATGGCAGAGCCAGGCGGCGTTCGTTGGAGGAGCGTAGCGGCCGAGAAGGAACGTAAGTTTGTATTATGGATATTAGGTAGATGGGTGCAGACCCAGTAGTCACTCTGTATGCAGCATTAGTGACTTGAATTTGATTCTGGAGGCCACGGGGAGCCAGTGGAGGTCACTGAGTAATGGAGTGACATGAGTCCTTTTGGACTGATCAAAAACCAGACGCGCTGCTGCGTTCTGAACCATTTGTAAGGGTTTCACCGCACAAGATGGAAGACCTGCTAGGAGGGCAGTGCATTAGTCAACTACATGGCAGTTTATTGCACACTGGAGGGACAAAACACTGCTACCAAAATGTTTAGAATTAGTTTTCAGATAATAGATTTTGAATTTGGTAAAATCACAGTGCTGACTCTGCAAATAACAGAACGTGCACCTGAAGCCCTGTAAAGTCTGCTGGGACTGTATGAATTGTGGATTTGGACAGACGTAGGCACCTTAAGGGGTACACACTCATAAAGCCTGCGTGAAGGTATGCTTGCAGTATTTGCGAGTAGTCGTTGCCTACTCGTGTGCTATGGTTCAGTATCTTTAACAGTGCCTGTTAAGTCTGCAAGAGTGTGGAAGTTCATCAGGCACAGCGAGACACGTTTGATTAATGGGGCCATCTCGCCACTCATGTAAATACATGTCTAAATGGAGCTGGTCCATTGTGTAATATTTAGGAGGATCTATTGACAGAAATTTAATATAATATACATAACTTTTCAATGGTGTATAAAGACCTTACATAATGAATGTTTTTATTACCTTAAAATGAGCCATTTATATCTACATATACTGAGGGTCCCCTTACATGGAAGTCGCCATGTTGCCCCACCATTTTTCTACGGTAGCCCAAACGGACAAACTGCTCTACAGAGTGCATTCCGTCTGTGCGTTAAATATGTACAAAGAAGAAGTTGTAAGTAGTAGTCGTGGAAATTGTGTATTACTGGTGCCTTTTAAGAATTTATTAATAAAAAGAGAATGACAGAGAAGTATTACGTTAATCAGCTGGACCAGAGGTTCTGTCTCCTAGGACAGTCATTAACGTCTGGCTCCTTGAATGAACATTTAAGCAGAGAAGAGGAAAAACAAGAGAGGGAAAACACCAAAACAATCTCACAGCTCTGACCTAAACCTGAGTAAATGTGGACAGACTAACTTAAGGAGTATAGAAGAGGAAAAGGTTAAGAATAAAAACACAATACATATATATGTATAAGAGATAGCAATAATAGTAATAATAACAGTTAAGGGAAATGCATAAAAGATTAAATGTAAGAGGACACAATTTTCTGCCATAACAGAAGTCGACTGGTTAATTAGAAGTAAGAAAAGTAGAGGAATTTAGACAAATGGAGGACCGCGTGTATTATTTAGCACAAGAGCCAACAGAGCATGTCGGCCACCGTAGCTCCTCCTGTGGTGGGGTGAGCGGTGACTGATGGTGCATTCATGTGGTGTCAGAATAATCAGAATCTTTTTTTTCCTCCTTAAATCTTTTGGCAGAAAGAGAAATAAAGTGTACATGGAACATAAAGAAGTACACAGAACTTTGATTTGTGCAAAATCACATATTGTAAATACATATTTTGCAAACATGTAATTTGTAAAATGGTTATAACGGTTAGTTTGTCCATGTAGAGTGAGCTAGATGGACTACAGAAGATAAAAACAGACATTTTTGACATTAAAGGTGGAATAAGTGATCCTAATCTAATACACTTCTTTTTGTCAGATTCAGTGACCATCTCCTCACACTGTTCTGACCGGCTCTGTATTTTCTCTCAGGTGAACGATGACCAGATGGAGAAGGCTCAGAAGATGTTCCCTCACAACCCTCCACACACCAAAGAGGCCTACTACTTCAGACAGGTGTTTGAGAAGCACTACCCGGGCAGAGCTGAGTGGCTCTCCCATTACTGGATGCCTCGCTGGATCGACGCCACCGACCCGTCAGCCCGGACCCTGTCTATCTACAAGCCAGACAAAGATCAATGAGCGGTTCTGGAACAGCTGTGTGCCTCTGTCTTTCAGTCAGCAATATGTTGGCCTTCATCATGTGCCACTTTTCAAACTCCTATTAAATTGAATGAGTTACACTGAGCTTGTCTTACCCTTCATGAAGTATGTCACACTGTGATAGAGTTTGTCACACTTTAATTTAGCAGTACTTGTCAGACCTGCTGTTTTAGGGAGTTCCAGTTATTCATAAAGGAATTTTTTAAATATATTTTCCATAGCTGCTAGACTAATATGTGTGCTCCAGCTATCATTTCATGTTTGATGCGCATTTATCCAGTGTGAGCACTTTTGTACAGCCTGACAGTAGAAAATTGACTTTAAGCATAAAATGAATGCTAAGAATGGGAGGAGCTGTACTATATGTGCAGGGGAATCACTCACCTCTGGCCACGCAGGTGCCCGTCAACACTGTCAAGTACGGCTAATACAACTCAGCCTGTTTGTTTTCTGCAGTCGACTGTACTATGCAGCATGTGTCATCGATTTGTGATACCTGTGTGGTAGCCAAAAAAATGTATTCATTCTGCTACAGCTAAATCTGACGAGCTCCATCAAAGTCATAGTTAATACTTCCTGAAAGTTTAGGTTAAACTGATGTCACGTTTCTATCTGCACTGTATTTTAATTCCATACAACTTTTTTTTTTTTATGTTTTTAGTCCATTTACTACAAATGTTTTTTTTCTTTACTGTTAACCATTTTCCAAAAGCATGCTATTTGTCATTAGTTGTATTTACGACCTTCCAGCCAGCCATTGTCTTCCCTTCATTTCATTACTCTGATGAAAATGAACTGCAGAGAATTGAAACTTGTTTGAGATAAGTAATCCATCACCTCATTATGTTTTTGATACTGTAAGATATTATTCATATTGTATATTACAGTACCAAATCTGTCTGAGCAGCTGCAGTCTGCCTGTAAAACCTACCTGGACGAGCTGCTCACCCAACTAAAACAGTCGCAGGAGTCTGAGCCTTAATGCCCCACCGTGAAGGGTTACATAATGTTACACTGGCTTAACTGTTTTGTTTTTTCAAGGCCACCTCAGTCTTGCATTTTAAAGGACTATCCTGATGTAGGATCAGAGAGTGGGGCGTTTTCTTCAGTCTCGACACTGTAAGAACAAAGTACAATAGCTTCAGACTGTCACTTCACACATTCAGCCTGTTTGCATTAGATGCCTATTTGGGGGGAAAAAAAGCATGTCAGTGTTTTCTCACACGTTTGTATTGTTGTGTAGGGTTTAACTTCTAACTGATTATTTAGAGCTGCTAACACCAAAAAGGCTGATGCTCCAGCTTGTTGACTAGTACATTATGCGATCTGTGTGGTGTGAAGGACATCTTTACAGTTCTTCATGGGTAGAGGTGACTCACATGTGAATACTGTCAGTGACACTGGCATGGCTTTTCACACTGATTAATGCCATCGCTGCTGTTTATTCACTGTGAATAAGGTCTTCGGTTCGGACTGGCTATGCAAACACATTTTGTGTGTGTGTGAGAGAGAGAGAGAGAGAGAGAGAGATAATGTTGAAGTTGCGGTCACGTGATCAGTGTCAGTGAGATATTAGAGTGAACTACAGCAAATTGGCAAATTCTGCCTGTCAATACGCTGTAATTCAATAAGCGTTAAGTACAGAGTTTAACCCTGATGTTCCGAAAAAATAGAACATTGTAATCTTCATAGTTCTGAAATTAATTTATTTCAGGGCTGTTATATTGAATTGTTTAATATTTTAGTTCTGCAATTTTGTCCACTTGCAACAATTTCATGATCTGTCTGACTGGCTTCCTACTCATCCCTGCTATTACATACTAATTGCTGCTAAAATAAATGGACCTCCTGGCGCTGACATGTGTTGTCTCTAAATGCTGTGCGTCGTGTAGTACCCTTGTTGTTCACCAGAGTGCGCCCTTTCCTCCAGATGCGCAGAATGAAAGTTGGATTTATCACAAGGAATTCACCACTTGCAAGCTGAAGTTGAACCAGTAAAGAAAATATTTTTAATATTTGTTAAACCACTATAACACACAGGTATCCTTTCATATCACACCATATGTCCAGGTGGAGAACACGACAGCTGTTCTAAAGTCATCTGAAAGCAAAAATGAGAACCTGTCCCAGTGTGTTGTATTTATAGAACAATCAGTTGCAATTAAACAGTTATGAGGCACTATACAGTGGCTTTGGCAGTGCAATTTTCAGCATACCCTGGGGCATAGCCTTGCTTTGATGGTCCACAACATTTAGTCTTTGTAGCATGGCAGATGGTTGAAAACGCTCACAGAAAAACACTTAACATTGATAATGACAACATTGCCCCTCCTCTCGCCCCAATCTACACAAATAAAACTGGCACAGGTACAGCACTGCTACATCACTACAATGTGGAAACAGAATGATTTTATTCAGCTAACAGCTACACAGTTTGGAGAAAACAAAACCAGCGCCGGTCCCCCTTCCATGGATGAGGAATGGCTAGATGAGAAGCAGGCAGGTGAGGAGATGACTGTTTAGCGGCGTCTCTCATACGTCTGTATTGTGCTCCAGTCATAGGACTCTGCAGAGGGAGAAAGCTTGTTAGCCATAGCACACTTTCGTCATTTTATAACATACATATATATATGAATAAAGTAAGATCTTTGAGCTGTGGCTTTACTTAAATTGAACTTACCTGGTTCCTCTTGGCTCCTTTTCCCCATCAGTCCAACAAAAGAGTTGACTTTATGTCCTTGGAGAAAAAAAAAAAAAGATATTTTGATTTGAAACAGTCCTCTCAGACCAGGGCAGTAGATAGAAATCTAGAAAAACTGAGGTCAAAAGTCCAAATCACTCCAGCACAACCCCACTTCCCCCTGAAAAAAATCTACGGTAATAAACAGAAAATTAGAAGTATTTCATTTATTTTTGATTTTGTTAATAGATTTTTAAATATAATTTATTTTAATTAATTATCATTTATAATTAAATTAAATTATAACAATTTATTGTATTTCTATTTTAATAGATTGTTCAGTTCTATTTTCTGTAAAATGTCTCTAGAGATTGGTCTAAATGTTGTTTCACAGCTGTCTCCCCACACTGCCAGGGTGTAAAATACAAACATTTGAATTTTTTATTTATTATTCTTTTGGTTAGGAAACCTCTTTTGGCTTGTGACTCATTAAAACAAAGCTCTGCCTAGTTGCAGCCCCTCATCAAAAGATACATATTGGTTGTCTGCAGGTTGTGATCTAGCTCTGGAAGGTAGCACGAGCTGAATTCCAAGTAGATTCAACTAAAGTCTGAAAAAATAAACCTAATTTATGTGTATCTGCTCCCCTACTCTGTTAACCATCTTGCATTCAGAGACACTGGGTCCTGGTGGGTTTCTACTGATGTAAATGTGACAGACAGTTGCATCACGGACTGACTGTGGCCCCTGTCAATCACAGTAATGCACTGTAATACGATCATGTGGGGGAATGGGGGGTGGGGGGGGGTGTATTGGACTGCGGTGTTATAAAACTATAGAGAGCCCTGAGGAATATTCAATATTTGCATTAGACTGATGAGAGTTAACAGCCATCACTTGGAACTGAATCTTGAACCTCCTGGAGAAATGATTATATATTTGTCCTGCCTTGTCTCAATCTTTTTGTCCCTTGAATTATTTGTCCCTTTGTAAAAGAAAATTGTGTAAAAGTGTAAAGATGGAAGGCATCCTCATTATAAGCGAAGCGTAGCTGCCTCTATCTATTACAAGCGTAAACAATTCAATTTAACTCTCAGATGTCCTTGGGGCATCCACCGCAGCACTCTCCCTCTATCTAATGATGAGTGACTTATAGTTATGCCTTCATAAGAGGAATAAATTAGATGTATGCTTACTTATGCTGCGCTGTGTTGCATCAGTGAGTGGGTGACTAATTTAGACAAAAAAAACAACCCTGACAGAGAAAACGTAAAATCCCCTCCTCCTCACGCTTTTTTCCACTTGGCTCTTTATCTCCTTCCCCGTTGTCACACACATAGACGTCTTCTCCGGACCACCTTCCTTGCAGACAAATGAATGTGGCCCAGTGTTCAAAAGAAAAGCTAAAACCATGACGTACATAATCATGGCGTTTCAATTAATTAAACCCTGTGTGCATCCTCAAACGCGCCCACTCTTTCTTAAACACTCGCATAAATATACATATTCAACTCCATTAGTAATATTGTAAGAGGATTTGCCTTTTTCCATTGTGCACTATTGTACACTATTCTATATTTGTGGAACTGAGCATCTGAAACCAACGACTCACCAATGTCCACTATTGGTGGGGGGTGAAGATATGTTTGTAGTGCAGTGTTCTGTGTTAAATGCATATTCTCCCAAACGCCAGCTGGCTCCATGCTTTTTAATACTTCCATTAATGTCAGTCAAATAATGTAAAATGCTAATTATATAGATATAGATACTGTAGATATATCCTATATGAGTCAACAGGAATCCAAATTTAATGTTATAGTTTTAGTATTATAATGAACAGAAAAGCGTCATTGTCTGTATTGTTTTATGTGTTGTGCTAAAGCATTTGAGACAATTCAGTGGGTTTATAGCAGGTTTATTTTAAGCCTAAGACAACAAAACAGGGCGTAGCTACCACAGAGGACATGGAGTCATGTATTTATTCTAGTAATTTGGAGGCTTTAGCTACCTGGGGGGAGATTACATTCTTCAATTTTTATTTTTAGGCTGATTTTATTTTTTATTTTTTAGAATTCAAATGTTTAAAGAAAACATTTTAGGGATGATCTTTTTGGTGTCTAGGAGGTGAGGGGGCTGGGGGGGGATTTAAGATCAAGCCAAAATGACCTGAAATGAGGTGTGAGGTGATGCACACACCTGATTCCTGAAGGCTCACGTGGTGAGACTCATCTAACAAATGATCAAATTAGGCCAACCATTGGAATGTTAATGATTTCATCCTGATTGTGCAAATTTTGCTAGATATACAAGCAGCTGCATGGAGACTATCGAAGCTTCTTGCTTAGGGAGCAAACTCTGAGGAGGAAAATAACATAACAAGTGAATGTGATATGACACTTACTTTTGCGGGTGATCTGTGGATTTCCTGTCAGAGGAAAGATATGACAAAGTTGAAAAAAAATATAGGTCCACAGAGGTAAACAAAAACTGTATGGTATCTGGAATTAACTCTTACCCATGGAGCGTTTGCCCATCAGACCGATGAACTGATGCGGCCGCGGCTTTCTTGTCATCCTCAGGAGGATTTCCCTGAATGGGTCATTGGAAATCCAGCCGTCCTGCGGAGGGAAATCTCAGTGAGTATTCACACCCAGGCTGGCAAGAAGTCGTCTTGTATCTAATATCACCAAAATGTTAAAATCTCTTTTTAAAGACACAAAAGTTTTGAGACAAAATAGAGCACATCTGCATATATATATATTGAACCCCCTACACCCCCATTCACCCAACACCAGTCTACACACTAAGCACAACCTACACAGAGTAATTATCCGTGTAAGGCTTTTGATTCTATTTCCATCTCAGGATATATTTCTACACTATGCATAATTCAGACTGAGATGTGGACCTGGGGGCCACTAATGTTTCGCACACTAAACTGTAATGATTTATTGTCTCATTCATCTGCAGAACGGCCCCTGCCCACAGTTTAGCCTGTTGGTGGAGCAGCTTGGCACGTTTCCAACTCGCAATGTCACACACAGGACATGCATTTTATATCAATGGAGATGTTGATGCTTCAGTTCCTACTATACTGTGCACTCGTGGGTTGATTTAATTTCCTACTGGCTGGCTCCTCTGAGCACTGCAACAGTCTCTGTCTTCATGTTGGGTGTTACTGAGTCCTAAAATCTTGACTTTCTCCCAGATTTTTCTACAATCAAGTGTAAAATTGTTCATTGATAGCCTAGGAAATGAATTTGCATGTTCTGCATCACTAGACTGAAACCTGTGTGAAAAGTATGAAGAGCAGTCTAACAACTGGCAGTCATTCATCGTGGTGGCAAAGTGTGACACTGTGCATATATGAGTAGTTGAGTCTTGAGTTTAATTGATTAGTACCAATTATTCATTTTCTATCCAAATTTTGGCTCCTGGAGATGACAAGAATCAATCAGACCACATCTTCAAAAATCTGGACAGAAAACATCTGCATCAATGTTTTTAATGTCTAATACCTCCAATATGTACTTATTACCTCATCATTATTGCTCAACTGTATTTACTAGCAGTTATAAGATGTAGGAGTTGATGTTAGGATTTAACATCAGGAAACTGACTTCCAAAAATCCCGTAACATTCTGTCAGCACACTAACTTACATTTGTGCTCCTTCATATTTGGGTTAAACAAACTTACAGTGGTACAGGTTTATGCAACTTTCAATCCAAAATAGAACAAACCATTTTTAGCTCAGTTTTTAGCTCAGACTAGAACCCAGTGATAAGTAAGGAGTGGCATTTCTAAATGTTTAAGTTGAGAATATAAATAAACCCCTGGATGTGGACTACCTGGATTTGATTACTGCTGGTCCAGTAGTCGGCGTCTTCTTTTGGGTCGTTCTCCTCGCAAAAAACTTGGGCGATGGCGAAAAAAGCCATTAAAACCGGTAAAAGCAGCAACTTCATGATGTCGAACCTGTTTTTCGACGCAGTTAGATTCAGTTAGAATTACTGTCAAAAGTCTATGTTAAAATAGCCGTGGATAACTTCAGTACAAAAAAACACAAACAAAATTAGAACGGTTTGAGGCACGAGCAGCAGCTGTACTGTGCGCTTCTGTACTGTGTTTCTTCCCTTCGAGCTCAACAGTAGTCCATAGTGCGTGCGTGCGTCAAAA